TGGGACCAGGTGCGACACAGATATACGTCCCCACAGATGACCCCCCTCCATACTCCCTCACGGACCCCTGTCAGCAGGGCCACCAGCAGGCCACCTACACCAGCCTGGAGATAGAGGAGCCGTCTGCTGGTGCTGGAGCCTCTTGGGTGTCTGCCAGCAGCGCCGCCGCCTCCCCCTACCCAATCAGACTGCACGAGCTCAGGCAGCAGCCAATATCCTCCATCTCCCTGTCAGCATTCCCCCTGGATGAGGCGCCCCCATACGAGGTGGTGGTGAGCAGGCAGAACCAGCCCATCCCTCTGATGCCCATGGACCTGCTCAAACACCCCTCAGAGGACAGCCATAGTCCCCAGAGAGCCCGAGTTGTCACACACAGGATCCTGTAGAGCTGCCTGGGATAGTCCGCTCCAATGCTCTTTCTGCAGACAGCCACACACACACCCATCCCAGTCTGAGTAGGACAGTTTAACTCTCTTCTGCTTCTTCCAGTGTCCCTTTGTGCATGACAGGCAGTATCAAAAGAGATGGACTTTCTGGACCGAAGCTGAAAGTTTGGGTTGAACCTGAACTCAGTCTGCGCCTTTCTTTCCTTCCCTACCTCTTGGATAAGCTGTGTCCCCCGAACCCAAGATGTTACCCGCACCACTCCTCACTCTCTCTCCCTTTACTACTGGGGCACTGCCATGAAATCACAGGGCTACTACTGGTAACCTGGGGCTGGGAGTATGGTCTTTCTGTCCAGAGGGAATTCACTTCATACTGTACATTGGTCTCAGTTTAGGAGGCATTCAAGCATTTAGGAAGCATTATCAAAGTCTGTTTTTAGCACAAAAAAACACTAGAGGTAACCTGAAGTGGTTTCACATAGATATTCTGTATGTACTGTTGGTTCTTGTTGTGTTGAAATGGAATTGCTCTTGATAAAAAACACTATAGAAAGAATGTCTAATTTCACATTTCTTCACAACATATCCATATGGTTTTATTAATATTTTCTTAATGCAAATAATATTTGATTTATATTTAGCTGACTTTAGGACTCCCACAGTCTGTAAAACGTCCAGTAATTTCAACTGATAAATATACCCCAGTGTTATACACTCTTAGAAAAAATAGAACCTAAAAGGGTTCTTTGGCTGTCCCCATAAGATAATCTTTGAAGAACCCTTTTTGGTTCCAGGTAGAACACTTTTGGTTCCATGTAGAACCCTTTCCACAGAGCGTTCTACATGGAACCCAAAAGGGTTCTACCTAGAACCAAGAAGGGTTCGCCTATGGGGACAGCCGAAGAAACCTTTTGGAACCCTATGTAGGTATTTTTGAAATAAATTAATTTTGTGGTATATGGTTTTATATGGTTTCTGGATATAAACACGTTCTAATGAGCTGGAAATACTGTATATTCTCTATAATTAGGTTTCCCCTCTGGGGGCTGAGGTCCATTTAGATCCTAACCGCTCTGTTTCAGTCTCTGAATGTGCACTGCCACACATTCCTCTTCTCTCTCTCATTACTTCTCTTTTGGGAAGAGCTTTTTTAGGTGTTCACAAGCGAAATTACTATGAACTTGACACATTCGCCAGCTAACATCAAAGTACAATATAGCTTGTAGCAGAGATACAATGGTATTTGACAATTGGTGGGAAGGAAAAATTATATTTGCACACAGTTTACTGTGATAAGGGATTTACTATACTTTAGTACTGACATCTTTGATATTATGATAAATAAACTATTCATTTTTTCAAAATACTATTCAGCCTAGACACATTGTATTTTTCAATATGCTGGAATCTTTTTAATGCTTCCAAATTATTATTCAGTATTTTGTTTTTGGTTGTGAGTATTCATTGTACAGATAAACTGTCTTCAGATTACATGTCTATCATCCATGTATAAATGGTATAAAAATGACTGTGCCTGCCAAGCACTAAGTCTAAGACTGTTAGACTGCTTAACATTGCAGCCATAATAACTTGCAACACTGATTAACAAATCAAGAGCTTTCCTTTTCTAAATAGCTTATTATTTTTCAAGGCTTGTGTTACTTTGTTAAGTTATTCAGATAAGTCTATGTTTATCATTGAAACCCCAGAAAAAGCACTCTCAGATGATATATAAAACTGTATTTGTGGAGTCAATGACCCCGTCACCTTTGCATTTGGCCCCAGAACTTGGTATCTCTGTTCCTGCCCCCCTCTCATTCTCATTGTCTCCCTCATTTATCTTAACAAATCCCTTATTGTGAAGTGATATCCTCACTGATGAACCCTTAAATCATATTTTATAAATGAATTAGTCGCATGATTGCATTGCTGGCATTGTGGATAAAAGTTATAAAGAGATGAGTATTTATTTAGAATAGCTTTATCAATAATATGTGTAACTGTGGAAAGACTACTATTAAATAGTTTTTGTGAGATTCACCAGAATGTAGATGTACTACAACACAGATGCTTTGCACTAGAGAGAATCGTCTAAAGACTAAAGATCAACAGGTTATTTTCTTGCATTACATTCTTGTGCCGATCTTCATCGAATGGATTTGACTTTGAGAGTTTGTTAAATGGCTTTTAAAAACCAAATGCTGTTCTCAGCACTTGTTAATACATAGTCTATTTGTGGTCAGAATTGTCATGTCAAGCCCTATAAAATAAAGCAATATTTGGGCTGAAAATTGTGTTAATGAGCATTTACTTGATGCTTATTATTATGTAGCTGCTGCAAATCTAGCGATGCTATATGATAATAATGATGGGCTTGTGTTTCATGAAAGTGAAATGTAAAAGTGCAATGTAGTGAATAGTACAACATATTAGATTGTGAGCATTGTGACACACACAGAGGCATCTAGAAATATACTTTACCTGCCTTTACAAGTCAGTAGAAATGCACTGTAACTGTGTTGGAAAACCTAGTCCAATACCTGTTGATGTGAAACTGCAATGCGGTTAACTCTGGTCTTACATGCTGTTTCATCTTTGTTGTTTACCTCCTTTTGGTAGCACAATAGGTACATGTCCAACATAAATGTGAACTGATGTGTAATACTGTACATGTACACTTCCAACGTATAGTTTCCCTATAAGTCCCACTTTGTACACAACTGTCCTGTGTGACAAGGATTGTTGTTTCCTATAATCACAGTCATCAACGTATATCCATATTTTGTATTAGAGCTTTTATTAATTTCTTATATTGAGGAAAGTAAATAAATTTGACCTCTATGATTTGAGTCGGCGTGACTGTTCGTTCTGGTTTTGCTACTCTGGGCATTGAAATCGCCTTCCTGTTTTACATGTAGGCTACACCTAGGAGTATCCGGTTTTACATGTAGGCTACACCTAGGAGTATACTGTTTTACATGTAGGCTACATATAGGAGTATCCGGTTTTACATGTAGGCTACACCTAGGAGTAACCGGTTTTACATGTAGGTTACACCTAGGAGTATACGGTTTTACATGTAGGCTACACCTAGGAGTATCCTGTTTTACATGTAGGCTACACCTAGGAGTATTCTGTTTTACATGTAGGCTACACCTAGGAGTATTCTGTTTTACATGTAGGCTACACCTAGGAGTATTCTGTTTTACATGTAGACTACACCTAGGAGTATACTGTTTTACATGTAGACTACACCTAGGAGTATACTGTTTTACATGTAGGCTACACCTAGGAGTATTCTGTTTTACATGTAGGCTACACCTAGGAGTATTCTGTTTTACATGTAGACTACACCTAGGAGTATACTGTTTTACATGTAGACTACACCTAGGAGTATACTGTTTTACATGTAGGCTACACCTAGGAGTATTCTGTTTTACATGCAGGCTATACCTAGGAGTATCCTTTTTACATGTAGGCTACACCTAGGAGTATCCTGTTTTACATGTAGGCTACACCTAGGAGTAGTATCTGTAATAGAAATAGGAGGAGGAGCATTACTATTAATAAACATAGGGATGATAGAGGAGGGAGTTGTGGATGAGGAGTGTTTGTATAGCATCCAAAAGTGCAGAAACAGTGTAGCGCAATTATCTACATTGGCAAAATGTTTCCCTAAATGTTTTCCCAATCCAATGCTGCTATGTATAATGCATGGGAATATGTTGTGACATCCTGTCTGTTGACAGCCATTCATTCCACTCTGATCTGCTCTGACTGTTGTGTTTGGATGGTGGGCTAGCTAGCTAATGTAAATCAAACTGAGCAGATGGTCTGTGCCGTTGCTCTGCTCCTAATTACCCTCGTTGCCCAGTGCAAGGCTCCTATTAGGGCGTGCCAGCAGAAAGCTAATTTCATCTAGTGCCACTGCACTCTGGATAATACGTCCACAGCGTCCATTATGAGGCTTTGTGAATACTGCACTCACCCAGATCTTATTGACTAAGGAGGGGAAATCATTTAAACTGTGTTTTCCTTCCTGGTGTGACTGACAAAGCAGAGAGCTCTCTGGAGCAGCTCTGGTCTCTGTAGCGAGTTAGAGGTGATGAAAGAGGTTACCATAGGTCAGGCGGACATCATCAGTGATAGAACCTCATAGATGTGTTTTACAGCGATGTCTCCAAGGTATCCAATCACCTAAATGCCTGAACAATCACCATGCCATTGCAAAATTGTTTTAACATTATCACTATTCAACTGAAACATTCTCTAAATCAGGCTGTTCCAAGGGAGGGAGGAGATACCACTATGCATTCATAATTCAAGAGTTTATCATCATTCTCTATCTCATTGTCAGGGAGAATGTTGTTTTTGGTGGGACATGTAACATATATCACCTGTAGCAGCACAGAAAAACAAACTGATGGAGAGAGATACACTGGAAGTTGATTAATTAGCATTACAGAGAAGAACTGCTACAGCCTTTTCAGCATTATCGCAGGTTTGTGGCATGACTAGAATATAATATTTTTTTATTTCCTGTAGCACCATCTGTTGGAAGACGCATGTCTAGAACAGAAATGTTCTATTGTATCCTCTAGATGTCAGTCGTGCAATGCAACAACACAAAGCCGATACTGAAGGAGAAACTTCATTGATACATCTAATGTCACCGTAGCCTAACTGTAGCGAAACAGTAATGATTCCGCATTTTTGTACATTTTTACCTACTTGACTAGCCTGTCAGATCTCTTTCACTTCCACTCTTGTCATACTTCCTAGTTCCTATGTTATTGCTAAATCCGATAAGAAGCGTGTAGCCTAGCTAAACAGTATTTTTCAACCAAAAAAAAACAAACATGAAGGACGGTGTCGGTGACCAAACACCTGTAGCGCGTAAAGAGGCTTTCGACGATTACCTAAATTACTATGATCAGATTTGGAGTAATGGTAACCTGAAACTATGCCAAGAGAAACTGGTTACTGAGGGAGCTAGACGATTTTTGCTGTTAGAGACAGACCCCGGAGAAAGATTTTCTAATTTTGACTTCTACCTTACTGCATCCGAATGCCTAAAACAAGGATTTAAAGATTGTAGGACATTCTTCAGTGCGCTCATCAAAGCCACAGAGGTGTTGGAGATTTTCTGTGTAAATCTGTTTCTTTACCCATGGAAGAAGGAAATCAAGATGCTCAAGGTAAAGATATAAATAGTATGGTATTCATAGTTCGACAAATTAGGCCTAGGCTGCTTTTATCTTGCGCAATGCACCCAAGCAAGTGGGGTGAAGAGAAGTTGTATAGACTTAGGCTAGGATAGCCTAATGCACATGTTCAAATTAGTATTATCAGAGTAAGAAATAAATAGAGGGATAATATATGACTATGGTTTTACATTGAATCGCCATCTCTAATCACAGGCCACATATTTAAAGGTGCAGCTGTCACATATCAGGAAGTGAAAGTAAACTGTATGAGGCTATATTATTTGCTGGGCTTGTGAAATGTCAAAAAGTTAAGCATGATTTGAAACTTGAGAGGATTAAAGTACAGATGTTCTCTATACTGTAGTGATCACGTTCTTAAGTTTAATTAAGTTGTCATAATTTAACACTCTTATCTCCCACTCAGACTTTCACTGGCCCCTTTGTCTACTGCATCCAGCCTGTCCTGACAAAGAGTGCCACGAAAAGTATCCTTGAAACAATAGGATATCATCTGGAGACTGACACAGAGTACCGACTCACAAACAATGCAGACCCTGAAACAGCCATGAAAATGGGTTTTGAGCTTTTCCTGGCCCGAACAGAGTGTGAGTACCTGTTGGAGCTCATGGGTCAGCGGTCACAGCCTGAGTGTCTGGAGATTCTACAGAGGAGAGCTGCACAACTACCTCACACCCAGAGGGCTGCCGAAGAGACAGCAAAGGACTCTGAAACAGAGCCCTTACCAATGCAAAAAGAAGAGGAGGAGAATGAGGATAAGGGTCTATCTAATGGTTGTTCCCTGGTAGACCCAGGACCAGTGGAGACCGATGAGGGGGACTTAACCGAGGAGAACCCTTTCACCGCTAGCACACCAGGCAGGCAACAGGATGATGGAGAGATACCCCTCAACCTGGAAGTTCAGTCCATTGAGATGACACACTCTCCAGGAATCAGACCTCCCAGGGCATTCTTGAACGATGACAGGTCTATCCTGGAGATGCAGCAGAATTACCCAGACCTTGCCATAAGGCAGAAACCAATATTCAGTAAGCCACTGGGTGGACCTCCTGTAGCGCGGGGGCGACTTATCAAAGGGAACACACCTGAGGAAGGTAGCAGTGCAGCCAACTTAGCCGGCAGTGATATAAGTGGTCCCCAGTCCATCTCCATTCACACCACAGCAGCACCAAAATCCCATCTCACAGAAGCAGTCCCAAAACTCCAGCCTCCAGAAGGTAAGGCCTACAAGACTAGTGCCACGCTCCATGGATCAACTCCTCCACAGGCAGAAGTGACCAGAGAGGGTCAGGAGGCCGATGATGCAGACGAGCTGAGCAAGCTGACTGAGACGATGGGCCAACTGCATGTCCATGAGCACAAGGTGGAGGAGCACCTGAAGTACCCTGTAGAAGAGACAGCACCGCCACATGCCAGTTGCCATGACGTGTTCCCTCACCAGGGTTCTGCAGGGGACCAGAGCCAGCCCCTAATGTGCCATCCTTCTCTGGTGCCGGTCTGTAACATCCCAGGCTGTAACAGCTGTGAAGGAGCAGACGGTCCCCATAAACAAATTCCTGGTAAGGATACCATCAAAGAGCCACCTCACTCCATCTATGTCCCAACCAGCCTCCTTGACCCCCCAGTGCTGGACCCTACTGCTCCTGACCACCCCCCCTCCGCAGGCCCTCAGCACCAGGACATGGAGGGGCCCCATCCCTCAGCCCACAGAGGACGAGCTGACTCGGACCTTTGTCTTGATTGACATGTCTGTTCAGGTCTAAAACATCACTTGCCACTAAGTTGTTTTGGTCTGGGGCTCATAATAACGTCTGGAACGGAGCAAATGGAATGGCATCAAACCATGTGTTTGATGTTTGATACCATTCCACCCTTTCCGCTCCAGCCCTTACCACGAGCCCGTCCTCCCCAATTAAGGTGCCACCAACCTCCTGTGGATTCAATGTCTGAAGGTGACAAGAAGAATGACATCATTGAATTTAATTCCTCTTCAGTTTTCTGGTCTTTGTTTTGTACCGTTTCTCAGGTGATATCGACTTTTAATACAGTGTTAATCATGCTTGACCTAATTTATGAGGTGGAGGTTAATGTTTCCACTGTGTCCTCTTATGTACAGTGCCTTACTGAAATGAATTCTATGCCAATCCTGCACTTACTTTCCTTGCTCATTGTCATTGAGACCACTGAATGTTTTGTAATGTTTATGGAAATGTAAGTCCAATTGTATTCAGAATGTTATGACCTTTTTTAACTCAAATAAAAATGTATGGAAAACTTTCATGGTCTTCAGAAGTTCAAATGGATCATACAAAATAGACAGTTACACTAACTTTATTCAGCAATATAGCATAAATGAACATATGTTATTATAGAAAATCACTATTAGGAACTTATTAAAACAAACTCAGCAAAAGAGTACAATATTTAACATATTTACTGTTGGTCCTGTTCACAACAAAGTGCAATTCCAGCCTGACAACATGTTCCTCTATATATTAGCAGCAAATAAAATAAATAAGAACAAAACATATAGCTATGTTAGTCAGCAGCCCCCTACAATATATGCTTTGTATTACAGACGTGGTACTGCTATGTCCCAGCAGTTGTAAAATGTAGGTATTATTTCACGGCTGACACCACGTGATCATCATTAAGTAACCAACACGGACATCATGTTCGCGTATAGAGAGAATCAATCATGGTCAGTGAAACAAACAAAAATGAGCAAGTGCATATGTAACAGATGTGTTGGAAAGCGACTTGTAGCAGTAAATATACAGTATGGATACCTGCGGTCTGAAAATGTACACCGGTTGACAAGATAAAAGGAACTCCACTAGCTCATTCTGGTATGCTCTCTTGGGCTGTAATAACCTGCTTACAGAAAACAAACATATCTACTGCCATTGTTGGTGCAGCGTATATACTTCAGTCACACATTGCTCCCTGCTAAAATCTTCTCTCTGTTCTCTTCATACTGGTGGAGCATCTTCTGCAGGTCATCGTCCGCTGAAATGACCTGTAAAATATAGAAGTACATATACACTGAGTATACCAAAATCAATGACATCGACCCCACAGTAACCGTACGTACATACCCTAACCAGAAGCCATGGATTACAGGCAACATCCGCACTGAGCTAAATGGTAGAGCTGCCGCTTTCAAGGAGCGGGACTGTAACTCGGACGCTTATAAGAAATCCCGCTATGCCCTCCAACGAACCATCAAACAGGCATAGCGTCAATACAGGACTAAGATTGAATCCTACTACACCGGCTCCGACACTCGTCGGATGTGGCAGGGCTTGCAAACTATTACGGATTACAAAGGGAAGTACAGCCGCGAGCTGCCCAGTGACACAAGCCTACCAGACGTGTACTCCAAGCATGCGCTGACCAACTGGCAGGTGTCTTCACTGACATTTTCAACCTGTCCCTGACCGAGTCTGTAATACCAACATGTTTCAAGCAGACCACCATAGTCCCTGTGCCCAAGAACACCATGGTAACCTGCCTAAATGACTACCGACCCGTAGCACTCACATCTGTAGCCATGAAGTGCTTTGAAAGGGTGGTCATGGCTCACATCAACACCATTATCCCAGAAACCCTAGACCCACTCCAATTTGCATACCACCCCAACAGATCCACAGATGACTCAATCTCTATTGCACTCCACACTGCCCTTTCCCACCTGGACAAAAGGAACACCTACGTGAGAATGCTATTCATTGACTACAGCTCAGCGTTCAACACCATAGTGCCCTCAAAGCGCATCACTAAGCTAAGGACCCTGGGACTAAACACCTCCCTCTGCAACTGGATCCTAGACTTCCTGACGGGCCGCCCCCAGGTGGTAAGGGTAGGTAACAACACATCTGCCACGCTGATCCTCAACATGGGGGCCCTTCAGGGGTGCATGCTCAGTCCCCTCCTGTACTCCCTGTTCACCCATGACTGCATGGCCAAGCACGACTCCAACACCATCATTAAGTTTGCCGACGACACAACAGTGGTAGGCCTGATCACCGACAACGATGAGACAGCCTATAGGGAGGAGGTCAGAGACCTGGCCGTGTGGTGCCAGGATAACAACCTCTCCCACAACGTGATCAAGACAAAGGAGATGATCGTGGACTACAGGAAAAGGAGGACCGAGCACGCCCCCATTCTCATCGACGGGGCTGTAGTGGTGCAGATTGAGAGCTTCAAGTTCCTTGGTGTCCAAATCACCAACGAACTATCATGGTCCAAACACACCAAGACAGTCGTGAAGAGGGCACGACAACGCCTATTCCCCCTCAGGAGACTGAAAAGATTTGGCATGGGACCTCAGATCCTCAAAACGTTCTACAGCTGCATCATCGAGAGCATCTGACTGGTTGCATCACTGCCTGGTATGGCAATAGTTCGGCCTCCGACCGCAAGGCACTACAGAGGGTAGTGCGTACGGCCCAGTATATCACTGGGGCCGAGCTTCCTGCCATCCAGGACCTCTATACCAGGCTGTGTCAGAGGAAGGACCTAAAAATTGCCAAAGACTCCGGCCACCCTAGTCATAGACTGTTCTCTCTGCTACCGCACGGCAAGTGCGCCAAGTCTAGGTCCAAAATGCTTCTTAACAGCTTCTACCCCCAAGCCATAAGACTCCTGAACAGCTAATGAAATGGCAGTTGTCAGAGCAGCTTACCGATCACTGCACCTGTACACAGCCATTCTGAAATTAGCCCACCCAACTACCTCATCCCCATATTGTTATTTATTTTGCTAATTTGCACCCCAGTATCTCTATTTGCACATCTATCATTCCAGTGTTAATACGAAATTGTAACTATTTTGCACTATGGCCTATTTATTGCCTTACCTCCATAACTTACTACATTCGCACACACTGTACCGTATATATATTTTCTGTTTGTATTTTTGACTTTATGTTTTGTTTACCCCATATGTAACTCTGTGTTGTTGTTTTTAATCGCACTGCTTTGCTTTATCTTGGCCAGATCGCAGTTGTAAATGAGAACATGTTCTCAACTGGCTTACCTGGTTAAATAAAGGTGAAATAAAAAATAAAAAAAATAAAAAAAACAATTGCATTGACCCCCCCCAATCCCCTTTTTTTATGCTGCTGCTACTCTGTTTATTATCTATGCAGTCACTTTACCTCTACCTACATGTACATATTACCTCAATTACCTCGACTAACCTGTGCCCCCACACATTGACTCTGTACCGGTACCTCCTGTATATAGCCTTGTTACTGTTATTTTATTGTTGCTCTTTAATTATGTTATTTTTCTATTTTCTCTATTTTTATTTTTTACTTCAGTTTATTTTAGTAAATACTTTAACACTTATTTTTCTTAATACTGCATTGTTGGTTAAGGGTTTGTAAGTAAGCATTTCACTGTAAGGTCTACACCTGTTGTATTCGGCACATGTGACAAATAAAATTTGATTTGATTTTTGATTTGATTATGAACACCTTCCTAATATTGAGATGCACCCCCTTTGCCCTCAGAACAGCCTCAATTTGTTGGGGCATGGACTCTACAAGGTGTCGTAAGAGTTCCACAGGGATGTTGGCCCGTGTTGACTCCAATGCCTCCGACAGTTTTGTCAAGTTGGCTGGATGTCCTTTGGGTGGTGGACCATTCTTGATACACACGGGAAACTGTTGAGCGTGAAAAACCCAGCAGTGTTGCAGTTCTTGACCCAAACCGGTGCACCTGGCACCTACTATCATCCCCGGTTCAAAGGCACTTCGATCTTGTCTTGCCCATTCACCCTCTGAATGGCAGACATACACAATACATGTCTCAACTGTCTCAAGACTTAAAGATCCTTCTTTAACCTGTCTCCTCCCCTTCATATAAACTGATTGAAGTGGATTTAACAAGTGACCTCAATAAGAGATAATAACTTTCACCTGGATTCACCTGTTCAGTCTATGTCACGTCAGGTGTTTTCTACTCAGTGTATATTCTCATTAAATGTTGTGAAACTGCCTTTACAGATTATAGTAATGTGAACTAAAACAGAGCAGTGTTTAGCAATCACTTACATTGGGGGAAAAATGTATTTAGTCAGCCACCAATTGTGCAAGTTCTCCCACTTAAAAAGATGAGAGAGGCCTGTGATATTCATCGTAAGTAAAAAAAATCCAGAAAATCACATTGTAGGATTTTTTATGAATTTATTTGCAAATTATGGTGAAAAATAAGTATTTGGTCACCTACAAACAAGCAAGATTTCTGGCTCTCACAGACCTGTAACTTCTTCTTTAAGAGGCTCCTCTGTCCTCCACTCGTTACCTGTATTAATGGCACCTGTTTGAACTTGTTATCAGTATAAAAGACACCTGTCCACAACCTCAAACAGTCACACTCCAAACTCCACTATGGCCAAGCCCAAAGAGCTGTCAAATTACACCAGAAACAAAATTGTATACCTGCACCAGGCTGGAAAGACAATCTGCAATAGGTAAGCAGCTTGGTTTGAAGAAATCAACTGTGGGAGCAATTATTAGGAAATGGAAGACATACAAGACCACTGATAATCTCCCTCGATCTGGGGCTCCACGCAAGATCTCACCCTGTGGGGTCAAAATGATCACAAGAACGGTGAGCAAAAATCCCAGAACCACACGGGGGGACCTAGTGAATGACCTGCAGAGAGCTGGGACCAAAGTAACAAAGCCTACCATCAGTAACACACTACGCCGCCAGGGACTCAAATCCTGCAGTGCCAGACGTGTCCTCCTGCTTAAGCCAGTACATGTCCAGGCCCATCTGAAGTTTGCTAGAGTGCATTTGGATGATCCAGAAGAGGATTGGGAGAATGTCATATGGTCAGATGAAACCAAAATAGAACTTTTTGGTATAAACTCAACTCGTCGTGTTTGGAGGACAAAGAATGCTGAGTTGCATCCAAAGAACACCATACCTACTGTGAAGCATGGGGGTGGAAACATCATGCTTTGGGGCTGTTTTTCTGCAAAGGGACCAGGACGACTGATCTGTGTAAAGGAAAGAATGAATGGGGCCATGTATCGTGAGATTTTGAGTGAAAACCTCCTTCCATCAGCAAGGGCATTGAAGATGAAACGTGGCTGGGTCTTTCAGCATGACAATGATCCCAAACACACCACCCGGGCAACGAAGGAGTGGCTTCGTAAGAAGCATTTCAAGGTCCTGGAGTGGCCTACCCAGTCTCCAGATCTCAACCCCATAGAAAATCTTTGGAGGGAGTTGAAAGTCTGTGTTGCCCAGCGACAGCCCCAAAACATCACTGCTCTAGAGGAGATCTGCATGGAGGAATGGGCCAAAATACCAGCAACAGTGTGTGAAAACCTTGTGAAGACTTACAGAAAACGCTTGACCTGTGTCATTGCCAACAAAGGGTATATAACAAAGTATTGAGAAACTTTTGTTATTGACCAAATACTTATTTTCCACCATAATTTGCAAATAAATTCATTAAAAATCCTACAATGTGATTTTCTGGATTTTCTTTTCTCATTTTGTCTGTCATAGTTGACGTGTACCTATGATGAAAATTACAGGCCTCTCTCATCTTTTTAAGTGGGAGAACTTGCACAATTGGTGGCTGACTAAATACTTTTTTCCCCCACTGTACCTGCATACCTGCCTTTCTATTGAACAATTTACTATTTCCCAACAATGAAAAACAAGGATTCCTTGAAACAGATGACCAATACTCTGGTGCTTATCACAGGAGACACTAGGACGTATAAACAGTGTTCCTCATTAATAGACCATTGTCACCCAAACGCACGTCTGAAAATGATTGATCACTCACAAGGACTGGAGCAGGAACATTGAAGGACGTCTTCTTTATCAGCCAGTCTTCATACAGGTGATGGATTGCCTCTAAATATTCCTTTAAAAAAAGATAGAGAGATAGTAGGATGAGAGATTAGGGCAAGAGACGAGTCTTACAACTCCTCTGAAGTGAGACCAAGAACAGCATTGAGAGTTTCTGTCATTCTTCTACTCTCACCAAAGGAATGATCTTCTCCTCCTCCCTGCATCTCTCTCTCAGCCTCTCATGGCAGGTCTGTGGAGACGACTGGAGGTAAACTGAAACAGAGGAGGAACTAAGTGAACAAGGTTCTACCAAGGACCCAAAATCATCAGAATAAAGTAGAAATCCTGTGTTTCTGCACAGCTTACCGATAAGATCCACAGGAATGGCAATGTTCTGAGTGATCCACTCAAACCACTCACTAAGAACTGCAAAGTCCACCTCGGGCATCTTCCCACTGCAGAGAGCAAAATATTGTCAAGTACATAAAATTAACTAGATTGGACACAAATGAAAACCAGCTATAAAGTGGTGTGAAATATACCATGTGCATTACCTTCTGTAAAGATTTTCCACAAAGATGTACTTGGCACTGTAGATGGACCTTTCCATCATTCTCACTGGGGCTGACTGGAATCAACAAAACCATGTTAATTATGCAATGTAAAATACAAGTCTTTGTACTTGGTGAAAGAGAAATATGTACTATTGATAGAACACATGCAACAGTAGTGAAACAGTAGGATATCAGTGCAACCTGTTCTGTGCAATGTTTAAAGTACCTACTATTGTTGAGAGGTGTCGGTCCAGCATGGTTAGCTGAACATAGGTCTGTAGAGTGATGCCCCATCGAGTAGGGTCCTGGTACATCAAACCCTGCAGGATGGGAGGAGATCTAACATCCGCATACAATATGTCATTTATCAAAATGAACCATCTTCTTTATAATGATCACGTACCAGGGGGTTGTGCCCTCGAACATTCCTCCATTTGGAAACTGGCTCAGTAAGCACCTGAGAAATCAAAACTAAAATAGTGATTTCATTTTACACACACAAATACAAAATGTTGAACAAGCATGTTGCATGTTTTTTTTTTTTTACCTCAATGTTACTGGTTTTGCTGAAATACTCTAGGCATGTTGTCTTCCCACTAGCAATATTCCCCTCTATACAGATCTAAAGAAAAACAACAAGATACATGTGTTGACTTCTCCCTCAAGTATATAGGCAGCAAATGTCTTAGTATCAATTTCAAAGATTTTCAAGGATTTAAAATGACAGTGTATCAGTACATACCACTAACTTCTTCTCCTCCCCATTCTGCACCAGCTTTCCTTGGGAGGAGTAAGACAACATTGTGAGATAACCTGACTTCTTGGTTTCAGCTTCAGTCAGTAGCTATGGTAAAGCCAAACGGATAAGGATATTAATATAGGTGATGCAAGTAGAGGTGATAGCTTTCAGCCCTGGTTTGGTTAGAGCAAATTGATGAGCATGTAGCCTCAATGACAGTAGTGGTAGATAATAGCAGTGCTCATTGTGCTTTATTTGTTTGATGTGAATGTTCAAACATGCAAATTAGACATGCCCAATGCCTAATTTGCATTTTTTGACATTTGCATCAAATTTAAATTCTTTACAGCATTTATTGGTGGTAGCGTAAGTGACCACAGAATATAAGTGTATTGTTTCTAAACAACATTTTCTGTCACATTATATTGTAACTAGGCTATTCACGTTGTAACAGTATGAGTAGGCCTATTTTAAAAATATATTCTGTTGTTTTGATGCAACATTGTAACTCACGTCATTTGTAACATGGCATTATAACATTAGTCTACAACGTGTTTCATTGTATCGCTCTGTATTGAAACAATGTTTCAGACCAGCGAATAAAATAAACCTTGAGCACCGGAACCTACTTGAGACGTGCTGTATATTGTTGCTATGGGCTCTCGTCTGGCAGAGCGCACCGCCACTAATCGCGCTGACGTGACAGCCGCGTGAGAAGATAGTCGTGTAGCAGATCTCCACAAATTGTTAATATAAAGCGAGTTAAAGGACATCTTGCATAATTATCTAAAACACACAGGGCTCGACTATCACGTGGCATTCCAGTTCCGTGTGTCAAATAACCTCTTCCTGGTTCATGATATGGAGATGTAGTTTTTTTCTATTGGTTGAAGTGCTTTATTTGTTCTGAGACCTGCATTCTCTCCACCAACCACCATCACCAGAGGGCAAAAAAAAGATAGAAACTGATCCTCGTTCAGATTATCAATACAGTAATGAAGAGGATCATTAAAATGCATAGGCCTACTCATAATGTTTTTACCTCTATGTCTGTAGGTCTATATGAGAAAGTCAATCAAATATTTTCAGATTGTAATATTCTATGCAGGTTGATTGCATTTTCAGATCATGATTAATTTGTTTAGTGGTATGCAAGCAGTAAGATAAGGCCTAGTGTAGTGATGGGTGTGAAAACACTGCACACATTCTGAGCAATGTACTGTAATATCCTGCAACTGAAGGAAATTGCTTGTTCAGGAAGCACAGACTCTGAGCTGGTTCTTTTGAAACTTAACAACATGACAGACGACTGTTCCAAAACAACCAGTAACATCCCTTCATTAACCATGGAAGTTGATACTGCTTTTCTCAGATCCTTGAGGGGTGTCCTTAAATTAGCAGAGATGGTGAGACATTTTTCATATGCATTTTTCATACTTTGATAAACCACCTGGTTTTGAAAAGACTTATCAGCACAGATAAAGCCATATATCTGGTATAAACTTGATTTTTTTAAAAACAGCAAGAATGTATTGCACAGTATTATTACAGGATATTACAATAGCTTACTCTTACAGAGATTATATTGATTTACATTATTTCCTAAATATGTTGTCTATGAGAAAACAGAAGTAGAAGTGAATGTCAGAGCTCTAGTTCCTGTGAGCTGTACAAACGTTAAACCCATTAGTTGATGATGACGTTTAACAAGATACTGCATTCCCTCTAGTGGACATTACATTCTAATCAATGAAAACTACCAGCATTGTCACAGTGTTTGGTGTGAAACAACCATTTCAATTTATAGGATTAGACTATTCTTAAATATCTTTGAATGGAAACAATCAATTAGCATTTCCTATAATTTCCTAATTGACAATGCTCTCTGTTTCAGGGGACTATGTTTGTAGCATTTGTGTGTTTTGCTGTAGCATCCAGGCCCAAATACATTGCAGCTACATGCATGGAGTTTGTGATCACATTCTCCCTGCTTCTGCTGTACACGCTGAAGTTGAACAAGAAGCTGACTCTGTTCTTTTGGCCTCTCATTGTAAGGAACCTATTCAATTACAGTACATTGTTTACAGTAGGTATTTTACATTGATTAACTGCTGTGAAAATGTCAGGCAGTCAAGCTTTCTGAGTAACTTACATTCTTTTTCTTCTTCAGGATTTGTTAAACTCACTGTTTGCAGCAGTCTTCATACTTCTCCTGAGTTTGATAGCAGTGTCCACTTACACAGTGACAGGGACCCTGGGTGGAGGGGTGAGATAAAAACAAATGTATTCCTTGTTGAACTTCTAATTGGGGGCCTTATAGAACTGGGTTCCTGGGTGAAGCCTCCTCTTACACACCCTCCTGTCAATAACGAACTACCCGAAGGCAGTACAATCCTTGTGAACATTTCCACTAACATTCATCTATTCTGTAATCCCACATTTGGCACCCAGTACAACTAATTAATGAACTATTACAAACATGTCAGCTACAATTCTATCTTGTAGCCTATATCCAATATTTACACTAAGTATTGTATTTTTTCCCTATCTAGATAGTGGGTTTCATAGCAACAGGCCTGTGGTGTGTGGATGGTTACATGCTTTTCAAGCGGGTCACATTAAATCAACCAAGAACAGCAGCAACTGGCACTGTGAAGTGAAGAGAAGACACCACAATTGTCTTGTCCCATGCTCACTCTCTTATATGTGTAGGTTTAAAGGGTCAATCAGCAGTTGAAACAATAACTAAACTTGGCCCTGGCCCGTTTTTTGGTAAAAAGCTGAAGGATATGGGGCTGGAGAAATGTAACCCCTCTCAAATTCATAGACAAAGCTATGTATGCAAGGACTGACCATCAATAATATCAACATTATAGTTTAAACCATGTTTCGAGGCTATATAGTGTTTGTTTACGTTTAGTTTGTTTACAATTATTGGAGTAAAACAAGCCTATATTTTGGGTCCTGATGGGGTATGACAGTTGAACTAAGCTCATGAGGCATTTATATATGGGTACATATATCATTAATTTCTAAGTCCAAAAATGGATGTATCAACTGCAGATTGCCCCTTTGTTTGTATAGCTTAATCAATGCAACAACACAATTATCATGTATAAAAAAAATATATACACCTTTGAAACCTGGGCCTGTATCATTTTTGAAACAATGTCAGATTACATGTAGGCCTAGTGTATTTCTACTTTATTCTGAAGTAATGTTTCTATTGCATTTTGAGCTGTTTATGACGTTCCCATAAAGTTGGCCCATAGGCCTATTAAGTTAAAACATATTATTTATAAAACTCGAGGGATACATCACAACAATTTTAACAAGTACATGACAGTATTTTAGTTTTGACGCATATTAGCATGCACATAACCCAGTCACCCAGCATACGGGTCTAACATCTCTAGAATTCAGATGTTGCGCGTTTGTGAACTACGTTTTCGCACTGTCATTATTTCCGTTTCCACTTCAAGAAGCAACACACTTTTTCAGGGCTTTGCATTTTCCACTCTCTCAACTCTTCCAGCCCGCTGGATCTGTAACCATTACTGAAGTCAAACTTTTATCTTTGCAATGGGGGACATCGAAGCTCCCGATACGACTGGACCGCGCCAAAGTGTCCTTCAAACTATTCTCCCAATCGCAAAAGAATTCGCATCTTCACGGAAAGGACAACTTCTTATTGCAGAAGTGGTAACGTAGCATTTCAAATTATATATTACTGTCATTATTTCCATTGTGTCGTCCGAATACTTTTCTTTAACGCTGCCAAGACAAGCAGATGCGTAGAAGTTTAGTTGGCGGGGGCGGGGTGCACTCAATTTAATGGGTTTGTGTTATTCAGTGTTAGGATTAATTTATGCTATTACATACCAACTCTTCAAGCAGCTGTTTAGGTAAACTATATGGAAAACACAACGATCGAATTCTGCTCATTTCTATTGAGGTCAATGTGTCCATCACACGGTTCTCATTTAGGCAAGGGAGCATTTTGTTTTCGTCAATGGCGCTAAAAAAAATGCTTTATTAATTAGACTTAGCCACATCTTTTTAACTTTGGAAGAAAGTTTTAAGTTTACGACAGACTACCTTTTAATTCAAGTGAGAACTTTGATTTATACCAGTTAGACGAAAGACATAATACATATGGATAATGTTGGAGACATAGCCTGTAAACTATCATTTATATTCATGTAGCCTAGTGTAGGCTAATTGATGTTTACACAAGCAAGCAATAGACCTTACATACAACTGTAATGTATTCTATATTTCATGTGGTCAGTCTTCTGTCGCACTTCTGCTCTGTATTACTGGATATCTACTAATAGGTTTTGACATGATGTGCAGTAGCCTATTGTAGGGACACGTTTGCACATGCAATTAAACCAAATTGGTCATGGTACATACAAAATACATGGTACACACAAAATACATTTAAAAGAGAGTTTGCTAAAATTACAAATGGTTGCAAATAAATTAACTGCATGAATTATTCAATGATTATTGATTATTTAAAACCTCAGATATCAGGAGTGTGTCTGCTTAGACATCTTTCCTGCAAAAGGGGTTATCACAAAGGATTTGAACTGATTGAACACAAATATGTTATTATCATGGGCCCTCCTTTGTCTGTCATGCGAGATTCAGTTCCTGGATCTGCTGCATAAAACAATTATCAACCCTCTCAGTCTCTACTTAACTGACACTGCTGGAGGGCATGTAGCCCAAAAGCTATACTGTAGAGAATAGAGGACTTTATTAGAGGGCTCTGGCTGACTGGCCCTATAAGGTAAAGGAATCAGTCTCCAAGAACAATGCAGCCTCTTTACACCCACTTAGAATATGATCCTCTCCCCTGTTTGTTCTAGAAACCACATGGGTGCTACTATGACTTTAACCAATGGAAAATAATGGAAAAACTCACGATAAAATATGAAATATGGTGGTTTTAGTAGTGGCTCAAGACAGCTGGAAAACATACATATAGTTTTTTCTGATCATAATAGCTGGAATGACAATAATGCTGCTTAAGTAATTTAATTTGTCGCTCGTAGCATCCAATTTACAAGAAATGTGTTGTGCCAGAATTCTCAGAAGAAAGTATTAGATTCCAAGATTCCTAGAGAATTTCCCTTGTTGCTTTACTATCCAAGGACATATTTGGTAAGAACTGTTCCTGCTATGCAGAAACATAGTGGGTTTCTGAGATGAGAAACCTTAGCCATGTCAAGGTCAGACAAAATGTCTGATAAGCAGAATCACAGTTCTGCTGTGCATTATGAAGATATTCAACGTTATTCGATGATGAAACACATTCTAAGTGTTAGATAGATGAACAGTGTGCTCTTCTCAGGGTTGTATCTATGAAAGCAGCAGTAGCAGTCTGTGTTGCATTTGGGGGAGTTCCCACCCCGAGGCGAGCCTTGTCTGTGGTTTTGAAGACAAGATGGCTCTCTGTGTAGGATAACAGTGCCTGGGCTTGTCTTGTCCAATGATGTTGGCCGGGGGAACTCAGGACAAGGGGATGTAGGAAAACAAACACTATCACCAGAAATGCTTTACAAAGAAAACTGCATGCTGATATTAAAGACTTGTGCATGTCTTTGAAATCACAAAGACAGTTGCGTCTTTCAGGATGTGTGCTCAACCAGACAAACATGTTTCATGATTAGCTAAAGTGAACAATTACATTAACACGTGTATAAACAAGCAAAAACATTTGAATTCACGTACAGTATAGGCTTCTAGCGTGTCTGTATAGACCTGTGTATATTATTTGTCATTCAACAGCTGCATCTCCTTACAGCTTGAGACAGGAAATGTAATAGCTTAGGGGCACTGCAACATTTCTTGAAAGGGAGATTTTGGACCAAAATAACTTCAGTAAGCCGTTACTGCATTCTATTGGTCACTTTCTCCATCTCTCCCTTCCTCTGTCTTCTCCGCTAGGCTCTGTCCCTCATCGCGTTCATCTGTTTTGTGGCGTCCACGGCAGCAGCCTTTGTTACAGCACCCCTCATTGAGTTCCTGGCTGCCCTCTTCCTCCTATTTGCCTATTCCACCAAATTCAATGAGCGATTTAAGGGATTCCACTTCCCCCTCATGGTGAGTATACTGGTCAGGTGCCACAAAGAGGGACCTCGGAAAACTACATTGGCTCAGAACAGGGCAGCATGGCTGGCCCTTAAATGTACACGGAGAGCTAACGTGAATAATATGCATGTACATCTCTCATGGCTCAAAGTGGAGGAGAGATTGACTTCATCACTGCTTGTTTTTGTAAGAAGTGTTGACATGCTGAATGTACCGAGCTGTCTGTTTAAACTACTAGCACACAGCTTGGACACCCATGCATACCCCACAAGCCACCAAAGGTCTCTTCACAATCCCCAAGTCAAGAACAGACTATTGGAGGCGCACAGTACTACATAGAGCCATGGCTACATGGAACTCTATTCCACATCAGGTAACTGATGCAAGCAGTAGAATCAGATTTTTTTTAAAACATAAAAAGACACTTTATGGAACAGCGGGGACAGTGAAGAGACACACACAGGCACAGACACACACTCTACACACACATACACATGGATTTTGTACTGTAGATATGTGATAGTAGAGTAGTGGCCTGAGGGAACACATTTAATGTGTTGTGAAAAGTGTTATGAAATGTAATGTCATAATATTTTAACTGCCTTAATGTTGCTGTACCTCAGGAAGAGTAGCTGCTGCCTTGGCAGGAACTAATGGGGATCCATAATAAATACAAATACACTGAGTGTACAAAACATTAAGAACACCTTAATATTGAGTTGCCCCCACAGAACTTCTCAATTCGTCGCGGCATGGCCCATGTTGACTCTGATGCTTCCCACAGTTGTGTCAAGTTGGCTGGATGTCCTTTGGATGGTGGACCATTCTTGATACACACGGGAAACTGTTGAGCGTGAAAACCCACTACTACCACCTACTACCATACCCTGTTCAAAGGCACTTAAATCTTTTGTCTCACCCATTCACCCTCTGAATGGCACACATACACAATCCATGTCTCAAGGCCTTAGAAACCCTTCTTTAACCTGTCTCCTCCCCTTCGTCTACACTGATTGAAGTGGATTTAACAAGTGACCTCAATAAGGGATCATAGCTTTCACCTGGTCAGTCTAAGTCATGGAAAGAGCAGGTGTTCATAATGTTTTGTCCACTCAGTATATTTATAGTAGAGATGGTAGCCACTGCTGACAACTGTAAAACAAATGTGAAAAGTACTTTTTCATTGTCATTATTTATCTGTTAGGATTTTCTGCGCTGTGTCAGTGCGTCCATCATCTTTTTCATCATCTCCATAATATCAGTTTCCAAGTTCACAGACGGGGCCTCTAAAGCAGCAGGGGTAAGAAATGCTCTTTGACACTATCCACACATCTCTCATCTAACCTATGCCATGATCAGAGTTGTGTCTCCTCACCATTTACAGGACAGGTGTCAAACTCATTCCATGGGGGGCCGAGTGTCTGCGGGTTTTCCCTCCTCCCTTGTACTTGATTGATGAATTAAGGTCACTAATTAGTAAGGAACACCCCACACCTGGTTGTCTCTGGGTAATTGAAAGGAAAAAACAAAAACCTGCAGACACTAGGCTCCCCATGGAATGACTTTGACACCCCTGATGTACGGTATACACATTGAACTCAGAAGTTGTGTCTGGTTACTCCACTGCATTACTTAATCGTGTCTGGATATCATATTACAGCTAACTTCTGTCAGACACTTCACCCCCTTCTGGATTTACTAGCTGTTTCACGTTGATATCAAAGGTTTTCTTTCCCTCCACCCCCTCCAGGTGTTCGGGTTCATTGCCACCATTGTTTTTGCGCTAGATTTCTACTTCATCTTTAATGACCTGGCTAATTTCCTCAAAAAAGGTGGGGACTCGGGTGACGAGCCACCAAGAACCTCAGGTAACACATTCTTTCAAATAATGTCTAGTATATAGTATGATCTAATTAACGTAAATCTACATTTTGTCCCCAGTGCTACACACTTTAGCTGCTACAGTACCCCTCAGAAACATTCAGTCCTTTCCTGTTCTTCCCACAAAATGGCTACAGGAAATATAGAAATGAAAACTTAGTGCTGACCCTCCATTCAGGGTTTTTGTTTCTGTCAGTTCTAATGAAATGTGTTTGGATAGTTTAGGAAAACTAATAGACTTGCAGTTTGCTGATAGCGCATAGTAGAAATCATAAGCCACATTGTGGACCACATGGCTCGAGTTCACTCAGCCAAGGGTCACAGGTCAATGGGGAGCTAATACTCATGGAGTGTGTTTGTGGAGTCAGCACATCATCTGGGAAAATCAGTGGAGATTGTTGTCTTTGTTCTGACCGTATGCTGAGTAGCTAATCTATTCAATAAACAAAACATGGTAACATTTGAATTCTGATTTCTCATTTGCCTTGAAACTGTATCTCAGCACAACCTAGTTGTTACTATGTTAACATTTATATTAGCTCTTTAATCATCGATGTTGTCCACAAATGTGTTTTTACCTATCATGATTACTTTCTAGGATTATATAGCCTTTATATTCATTTCTAACTTCAATTCCTGATCATTGCATTAGGTCAGAGACCACAGGACTCAGCAAGACAAGGCATTCACTTCATTTCCCTCTTTGGAAGGGACAGGCAGAGGGGATGTGACTCCGCTGTCCTGGCGTCGTGAGGGAGCTTGTTCCACCATTGGGGTGCCAGAGCAGCGAACAGTTTTGACTGGGCTGAGGGGGAGCTGTGCTTCCGCAGAGGAAGGGGAGCCAGCAGGCCAGAGGTGGATGAACGCAATGTCCTCGTTTGGGTGTAGGGACTGATCAGAGCCTGAAGGTACAGGGGTGCCGTTCCCCTCACTGCTCCAAAGGCAAGCACCATGGTCTTGTAGCGGATGCGAGCTTCAATTGGAAGCCAGTGGAGTGTGCGGAGGAGGGGGGTGACGTGAGAGAACTTGGGAAGGTTGAACACCAGACGGGCTGCGGCATTCTGGATGAGTTGTAGGGGTTTAATGGCACAGGCAGGGAGCCCAGCCAACAGCGAGTTGCAGTAGTCCAGACGGGAGATGACAAGTGCCTGGACCAGGACCTGCGCCGCTTCCTGTGTAAGGCAGGGTCGCACTCTCCGAATGTTGTAGAGCATGAACCTGCAGGAGCGTACACAGACAGGCATTGCTCATACCCTCACTGTAAAAGTGTTTTTTCTGTTTTTGTGTTATAGACTACAACGACTCAGACTCTGACTCCGACTGAAGAGGTTCTACCCCAGGGATCATGTGTGTCCAGTCCACCATGCCGGACAGGAAGACAGCCATACTGCAGAAGTCAACGGCATCCTGAAGGATTCACATTTCATTTTAAACTGACGTGAAAACAGGTTTCCAATCTCAGTCTTTAGGGCATTGGAATGTTGGCACGTACAATGATCAATTACGGTTACAGTATTTTTCCAAATGCTCTAAAATTGCCCAAACTCTGAAATACATTTCTGAAGCTGTGAATGAACTGTGGTATTTATAGTGATGGCTATTGGTTTACAGTTGCTCGGCCTCCATAATACCAAGCAGAGCATGGGGAACAAAGGCACATTACACTAAATTTAAATGGAAGAATCGGGAGGAATTCCCTATGTGTTTTTATGAGGTTTACATCATTGAAAAGATTGGCAGCTGGTTGGCTGGTTACACCATCTGTCCAATCATCATACTTGCTTTGCTTGATTTTTCATTTTCTGGTGACCTTTATTGAAAATGTTCCTGTATCTGATGTGATATCCTAGCATTAAAATCATTTTATGACAGATCCATGTTCACCGAGCTGAGAAGACTGACTGTGCATGGCACTTAGCGACTCTTACCGACTGCCTAAATGGCCACTTCCTGTTTGAATTTGATTTGTCAGCGGAATGTTTTCTTCTTTCTTCCAATTCAAAAAACTTTTGATCATGGAAAAGCACTAGGATACTTTTGTTATTGTGTTTGAAAAGTAAACTGCAAATGTGGTAGGACTGCATTCATTGATTGAAAATGGTACACCAAAATGTTTTCCTATTTAGGTTTTCTTACCAGGTTTGTACATTAAACATTTGTCAATTTGCAGGTCATGTAAAGAAAATAAGAAGACATCAGTTGATTTTCAGGCCATTTGTAAGATTTACTTTGTTTAATAAAAAATTTGTTCAATAGCATTTCCAAATCCATTTATTTTGAGACAAGGTTGTCACCATAAACTATAGTTTTGTTAAATCTACAGAAAATTATTTAAATACAATAGATTTTAATACTGCCTCCTAGAGTCCAATAAATACCTGTATCAGTTACAGAACATTTAAGAAAATCAAGGTTAAACTTTAAAAAGATAAGAGCAGTAAGTCTTCACTTTAAGATTAGCCATTTCAGATGTTGAGTGGTTCAAAACCTTGATACAAGCTATAACCTCTGCATGAAGCACTGTTGTTAAAGTTGTTTTAAGCATGTTACAAGATATTGTAATGTAAATACACCTAGTTCAAAATATTAGGTTATATTTACAGAGTGCTCTAGATTGTTAAAGCCTTCATGAAGCATTAACTTGTATTGTTCCACTATAGTCACATAATTTCACTACTAGTTAAAGCAAGGATTACAAATGCACTCACATGGTCTATTACTGTATGTTATAGCATACTGTATTACTAGATAAAGGAGATGGATCCACTCCTGGTCAAGGCATAATATACCACTTAAAACAATCAACCCAGTCCATCATTGAATAGAGAGACATAAATAGAAACATTTGATTGTCTATTCTTCACACAAAACCACCCACTCACACGTTTCAATCATAATCAACAGTTATTACGGTCAATTCCTTCAAATTAAATCTGCAATTTGAGATTTGCAATGTTCCCGCCCTCGCCTACAAAGTCATTAATTTAGTTAGGCCTTAAGATTGTTCTCACAAAGAATATTGGTTCATCAACTCTTAAAAATACAAAATATGATCATTTTGACAAAGATTGCATTTTTAAAACATTTGTAAGATGTCCCACAACCAGGAGTGGGTGCACTTCAGTACATATAAAGCATCCACTGTGAGCAGTTCCTCTGAGGGTATCTTTACCATAATCCACATATACATAAAGTTTTACCAGCAGGGTCAGTGGAATACAGAACACCCGGAATAACAATGTTGTGTAGATGTAAACACACAATACTATTTAGAACAAAAAATACAAAGGCCAAAACACAAGTCAACAGTTCTAAAAGTCCTTCATCCTAGACACATTCAGTACAAACTTGCACATATGAACAGACATAGGCTACATATCCATACATGTGATCTCAATGTCCCTTGCTCTGTTTGTCTGTACCAAAACAAAAAAATACAGGAAGTTAAATTGTCTGCGAGGGTGTTTTATGAAATAACATATGGGATAATGTATGCTGTATAAGATGAATAAGATCACACATTCAACTGAAATACATTCAGGGCAAAAAGTAAAACCCCATTGGTGTGCCATTCTGTGAATGACTATGCCATGGACCCAATTATTTAGGTGGCAACGTCTTTTGACAAATGTATGTGTTGCCACATTTAAGTTTCAAACAGAAAATAGAACAGAAATGATGAGTCAGCCAATACCTGAGATGTGCCATGGACACTGACCCAGCACCTGTTTATCAGCATTTCGTTCAATTACCAAACGTACCACCATGTTAGTAACGTATCGCTGTGCAATTTGTCTGTCACTCACTAGGTCAGGTATACTATAGGTACAACACCTATAAACGTCACATGTATATTCTTTAACCATTTACAAATAGCACCCATACCAACTACATTGCCTTCAGAAAGTATTCATACCCCTTGACTTTTTCCACATTTTGTTGTGTTCCAGCCTTAATTTCAATAAAGTTGCTAAAATGTATAAAAACATGTTTTCACTTTGTCATTATGGGGTATCATGTGTAGATGGGTGAGAAAAAACATATTTAATCAATTTTTTATTCAGGCTGTAACACAACACAATTTGGAATAAGTCAACGGGTATGAATACTTTCTGAAGAAACTGTAAATCAAAAGTCTTTCAATAAAAATGAGTAAAAAACAAATACCTTCAATCTTCCTTCAAAAGTCCATGTGGTTCGGTGTTGTGTATTAGTGAGATACACTGAGGATGGTTACTTTACATCTACAGAGAGAGAGACAACTGACATGTAATGAAATTGTGGAACTGAACTGTGTTGGGAATGTGTTTCAGGAGTATCGGAGTTCATAAACGTAATAACTGATCAACCTGCCATAACGAATAGGCCTAAGCTTTTGGTCCTTTTTTTTAAAAGTTCATGTTCAAAAAAATATAAATCAATTAAATGTATTAAATTGTTGTTCTCATTGTGTGTCAGATCTGTAGTGTTAAAAAAATCTTTCAATTTCTAAAACAGACAGTGCTACCTGTACGTATTGCAAATAACACAACCACCAAACCCTGTACAGTATGTGCTGGTGGCCATAGATACCAGTGGCTAAGTCACACAGTCAAGAGCATTTACAAAACACTGGAGCAAGATTTCAAACCACGCTGAATTCAAAACCAGAAAAACAATTAATTTATATCAAGTCAATGTTCTTGATGACCGTCGACAGAGGCAGATCTCTGAGCCAGTCTGTGTGTTGGTACTCTCAGGTGGCTAGGGCTCTGAGTCCAGGCCTTGAGGGTCTCTCGCCAAAGGAGACCCCCAAGTAAAGAGGCTGCAGTGCTCATCCATGGAGTGGGTACAGTGATTGGTTATGTCACTAGGGGGTAGTGGGAGAGAGGGTATGGTAGGATAGAAGCCCTAAATGTCAGTCTTGGTCTCAGAATGTCACCTCCTTCAGGCCAGGTCAGGCCGTGCCTCCATCTCTCCCCGGGAGGCAGTGCGGGCTCGCATGTACTCACTGGTCTGGACCGCCACTGAGCGCCCGTCACCTATACGCCACCTTTTCACCGCCAGGAAGGTGTTCACAGCGTATACACACGTCACCAGGAAGCCAAATATCTGCACAGGAAGTTACAGGAATATGATTCAAAACAACAGAATTTCTGTTACTATGAACTTAAAATAAATGTAGGTTTCCAAGTAGTACAGGAGGAAATGACACCTCCCTCCAGTCCTTCCTAATATTCCCAGCAGTAAATACATTTCAAATAGGGACTACTGTATAATAACAGCAAGACATTTAGCTGATTAAACAGTAACACAAAGTGTCTAATCTCTCTCCAAATCGCAGCCCTTTATGTAGTATACACCCCTAAAGAAATAGACAGAGTGGAATTCAACAAATACACCCCTCCCACAACTCCCTCCATCTCTCCCCAGGAGGAGAGCCCAGGGATTTAACAGGCCCCCTCCAGGCCTGAAAAAGCCCAGGATGTTTAATAGAAACTTCCTGCTGAGAACATCTGTACCATAAACGACTCAGCACAAATCCCCAGACCACCGGCTGGGCGCCCGTAGTACACAGTTCTGCTGATCCAGCCTCATGCACAACCACAGGAATCAAAGGACCAGCAGTGTGTGTGAGGACGTGCATGCTTTCTTATGTGTAAGGAAACAAGCAAGCTTTGCCCAGACAATGCAATGAGCGGTGCAGAGAATGAGGGGGAGAGACCTCAAAATGAGGTTGAGGGTTACAAAGAGGGTTAATAGTCAAAGAGAAAGAGACTGAGAAAGAAAGCGAAAGAAAGAGTGAAAGAGAGAGTGAAACAGAGAGAGAGAGTGAGAGAAACCAATGAGTTGTGATCTCTCTCTCTCCAACGAGGAGATTAGGGCTGAACTCCAGAGTAAACGTCCATGTCACCGGCTCAGAGCTGACATGACAGGAATCAGAAATCAGCTCATAACCTCCAGGGAGGGACTGAGTCAGTAAATAGTGTGGATGTGGCAGCAGCAGGGTGGCCAATGGAGCCATGAGCATTCACTGTGGCTCTGCTCACACATCATCAAGCTCTCAGCACTCCCCTGAACAGCAACACTTTACCCCTGGTCTGGCCAATTACAGCCTGGCCAACTGATCCTCAAATCTCTCACACTGTCAGGCAGATTGATGTGGCAGCAATTCTATTTTGGCTTTATTATACTGTAGGTGGGGAGGAAATTCCATATTGACTTGGCGAAATTGCCTTACCATAACTTGCTACATTTGCACACACTGTATATATATTTTCTGTTGTATTTTATGACCTTATGTTTTTTTTACCCCATATGTAACTCTGTGTTGTTGTTTTTATCGCACTGCTTTGCTTTATCTTGGCCAGGTCGCAGTTGTAAATGAGAACTTGTTCTCAACTGGCTTACCTGGTTAAATAAAGGTGAAATAAAATAAAATAAATAAAATGCAGTTCAGGCTACCTTCCACAGGGAGGCAGCAGTTAACAGGAAATGCAGTATAATGTGACAAGACAAAGAATCTGTTAAACAGAAAATTCAACAGAAGAACTTCAAGGAGGCTAATAGCTAAATGTCTTGCATTCGATTTGATTATTGAACATATTTCTGAACATTACATTTTGTAGTAAAGGTCTTTGATGTATATTTTAGATGCATATAGGCTACTCTTCAAACAACAGAAATCCAGTGGGTCATGTAACACCAGCCATTGTTCTTAGCGTAGCACAATAATGGATCAAATAACCCTTTCACAGAGAGAGGGGAGTAGGGAAGGGAGGATGAGGGGGAGAGAGGAGAAAGTCCAGACCTCAGCCCATGTTTCAGTGGTGTACATCTGAGACAGACTAATAAACAGGGTGGTCACTCTGAGAAGGCCCAGGTCAGGGGTCACAGGGAGTGACCAGGATGAGGATGCAGTGGGGCGGGACGGGGAACTCACCACTGCTGCGATCTCGGCTCCAGACTTGTGGTTGAGAGCAGCCAGGACCACAGAAGCCAGGAAGAAGAAGAAGGTGCTGGCTGCAGTGTTGACCAGGTCCTGTAGGGACAGACAGACAGACCAATGCATATTAATTAACAGGTAATGTTTAGACTGATAGTTACTGTACATATTGTAAGTAGCAAGGAGTTAGTAATAGCTTTTCTCACCATGTTGTGCAGAGACAATGTTGAGTAATGTTTTAGGGTCATATGTTAAAACATCTTTAAAAACCATCCCCACCCAAAAAGAAAACAAAAAAACAGCAGTGTTTCTCAAAGGTACTTCAGATCACTCATCAAGCAATTATTTATAAGAAATGTCAATGTTTCCCCCAACAACAACAAACAAACAGATAACAAGAATAGCTACCCATCTAGTGGTCTGAAAACACATTTTTTCCCACCATGTTTTTGATCCAATAGAAAGCGGTAACTCTGTGGTGTCCAGCTCTAAAGGGAGAGAGTGACAGACGGGTGGATAGATGGATGGAGAGAGATGAGAGAAGGGTGGCCTGAGGCTTGGGTCTTTTATTGGGCAGGATGCAGTTCTTATGAACAGCAGACAGGGAGCGTAAAATGGCGATAGCACAATCACTCTGACGCCTCCGTGTTTCGAAAGTTCATGTAAAATATCATGGAGCCGGAGGATACCTTAAGCATTGAAAACGTTCTCCTCCTGAACACTGCTCATAGGCTACAGCGAGAGACCCAGATATTTCATTATGTCTGGGTTTTAAATCTGCAGGGGGTAACATGGAACTGAACCTTCAAAGAAGCACGCCTTACCACTGACTGGCACCTCACGTTTCACATTACTGAGCCAACACAAGGCAGAGACCTACCTTTGATCTAGCACTGGGAATACAGTATCATAATAATAATAATAATAATAATAATAATATGCCATTTAGCAGACGCTTTTATCCAAAGCGACTTACAGTCATGTGTGCATACATTTTTGTGTATGGGTGGTCCCGGGGATCGAACCCACTACCTTGGCGTTACAAGCGCCGTGCTCTACCAGCTGAGCTACAGAGGACCACGTCTGCTGTTCTTTCACCGTGCGTTTGAAAAGAAAAGGAATCCCATTAGGGGAGAATTGTGTATCTATATAGAGTATAGCCTCTATGGTACATCAGTAAAGAAACTTTATATTTTCACTCAAATCCATCATTCCCATACTAATGTAGACACACATGCTCATGTTGTATTTCAGAATTGTAATTTTTAAGTAACATATTTAGAGTTTCAGTCATATTAAAGTAGAATATTTAAGAGTCTCTGTAACCCACATCATTGTCATACTTGTCAATCCATCAGCTATCTGAATGTTTGGAATTGTTTGTGCTGCTCTCTTGTTGTCTGTTGATAGTAATTGGCGCTGAAGCCAATCACTGAAGGTCCTAGTACAAGGACCTGATTATTCACATGAACATAGGACACTGTGTCACAGTGAGCTTTCAGGATGTGCTGTTCTGGCTGGCTGACCAGTCATTCAGTGTATGGTTAATAAATGTTTCAGCATGACTGGGGCAAGGCCCCCCATGTGAATTCTTGAATGATGGGAGTCATAACCCACATCGTCTCACATGACACCAACTCTCCCCCACAGACTGACTGGCCAAACCAGACTCAAGACTTAGCACTAGCCAAGTGAGACCCTCAAAACTGGAAAACTGGCCAAACCAGACTCAAGTCTCCCTTTTTTGCACCAACACACATGTACAGCTCAGACCACCAAACCACACATATGCTGGAAATCAGAGACAAATCAAGCCTGAGTCTTACACTTGGCTTCAGATGTAGTGCAAATCAACCCTAGTGCCTCACTCCCTGTCTGTATGTGTGGCAGGTATACAGAGTGTGTCTGTGTGTGATCTGTTTGGCAAGATGTGTGAAGAGAAACCAAACAGTATTCAGTGGGGTGTAAAACTGTGAAAAGTGCTGTTTATCCTGGGGTTTAAGCTGTCTGATGTGTTTAATGGAAGCGTTCCTACTGCAGTGCTAGGCTATCTTGTAGAGCTGGATCTCCCACTGGACACACCACCAACATCATAGTAACAGCACAGCATACACTGGTCCAACTGGTGTTACAGGACTGATTTCTCAGCGTCAATACTGCCACGCTCCCTCTACCACACATCCCAGATCCAGCTCACCCCAGATCCAGCTCACCCCAGCACAATAGTCTCTGGGAGAAAACATTTCCACATGCACAGCAACGGTTTGTAAAGCAGCAGCAAAAGATGGAGCGCCTGCCTTTAAATACCCCAGTCAAACCGCTGCCTCTCGCTTTCTCTCTCTCTCTCTCTGCAGAGCGACACACTTCTCCAAGCCCTCCTCCACCCTGAGCCCCGAGGCTGAGAGGCAGGCAGGCCGCTTAGACTTACTGGCTTCTCTGGGAGAGGGGGAGATGTCAGCATGCTCAGCATTTGGCAGAGCAGTCAGGGACTCACTCTTTGGAAGCCAAGAAAGTGTGTGTGTGTGTGCTAGGAGTGGTCTTTCACCGAGGAGGGCTGTCGAGGCTCCAGTAGCTACATCCCCTTCAAAATGGCTCTACCAAATGTTTTCAGCTGCGTGTTTATGCTGATTTAGACAAGGATCAAGGCAACAGGAAGCACGCATATCCAGACAAACTCTCTGAAGTGCGTGTAGACTTCACGGAAGAAGAGTTACCAAAAACACATTGCAGAATACAGTCAGTTCAACAGTCTTTTTGGGGGGGGTATAAAATCAATAAAAAGATCAACATAATTATTGCATGTCTTCTGCTTGGGTGGCAAAATACAGGGCTAAAAGAACTGCAGTAAAAAACTTTTCCTGGACCCCCCTCTGAGATAATTTTGAGTGAAAATAAATAGAACGTGAGAGAGGAAGGCTCTGCGAGCACAACCGATTAATCACAATAGCAAACCCTGATTGGCAGTTGGATTAAACGTGTAGGGGGAGGGATGGACCCTGCTAGGTAAAACAGTGTGGAGTCTGACAGAGACGTGCTTTGGAACAAACAGCGGAAACTACTAATGCACACACAAACAGGATGGCATTGCACACTATTTCAACAGATGCCAAGATTCAAGGAAAATAAACCATGCAGCTACATCTGCAAGAGGAATGCACTGTATATCGTGTTTAATCATTAGTCAGCAAAGTAAATAAATAACATGTTGCTTGTGATTTGCCACAGGGTCATCTATCAAAACAGAAACCGTCGCTCCACTCAAGCCAATACACTGCCTGATTTCCATAAGGAGCTGGCATAGCAGGATCTGCAGTAAAGTGAGAGGGGATAACCTGCAAACCAGGTCAGCATATGTTCTCACACTCAGAGGGGAGACTCTACTTGGCACATTCTCAAAGATCCAGTCAAGAGGCCACTTCAGGTTCTCCCATAGGCTGCCATTCCACTCATGCATGTACTGAGATTTCTGTTCCCAGCCTCCTCATTTCTGAGCAAAACTTTTTCCCAGCATTCATTGGGCCAGCACTCGCCCACATTGAAAACTGGCAGTGCCTGTGTTTGTGGTCACTCTTCTCTGTGCCGGCACTCCCTGGCATGGCAGTTGGTAATTTGAAAGCCTTTGTGTGGAGAGACAACAGAGCCAGCCAGCTTTGAGACAATGTATGGCCGTTGTGGCTACACCACAAAAAGAGAGCCAGTCTCTGGCAGCACAAGACAGATCAACACCACCCAAACCCAGAGACACGGCATCACACAGATCGCTGGGGGCAGGGAGAGAAAAATAACACTCATAATACTGAACTCACTCCCCTTAGCTAGCGCCAACAATGTATCTGAATAACCAAATTGACCTCTAACCAAATGTGACATTTCCAGGAGCCTTCACTCACCAACTTTATGTAAAGGTTACCTCAGAGAGCTTTATGATAAAGCCCAAGGCTGTGCTCATTTTTTTAGGTGAGGAAATAGCTCCCCTATATTCCCAAGACAGCAATAGAGCTTTACCAAACATATCATCGAGCACAGGTTTGAGATGACAGGATCAAATAGCACATAATTAGAAGAACAGACCTTCCTCTAAGACGTTTTCCACATTTATAAGTCAGCTCCACAAAGGAGTAATTTCAGTGTCACTGGTGTGTTCGGAGAATGACTTTCTTGGTTTACACTCAGTCAAAACTGCTGTGTCATGTAAAGATTCCTGGGGCCCAACTCACCTTGAATGTCACAGATATAAATACAATGAAGGGAAAACGGGCCACTATGCTGAGGATAAGTCCGCTACTCCACTCTAGAGCCAATACGAGCCCTGGAGACGGCAACAGCTCCCTTTAAGCCACAACCAAACACACATATGCACACAAAGCAACAGCCTCTGACTCAAAAAAATACACATAACAGACATTTCAACCACCCACCCCCAAAGGCACACTGGCATAAACACACCAAATGACTTTTGTTTCCTCACACAAACAATGTGCATAAACTAAAAATAAAGAAGTTATGACATCACATTCACAGACATTTATATATTTCAGTGAGATATGGACATATGGAAGGTACCGAACTATAGAGATACAAAGATAGCCATATGTTGTGTTGACATGGTGCAGTGTTTCCATCTCTTTGAAGGGTCCTGCATAGCCCAAAACCATTGGGCCTAAGGAGAAAAACACATAAGGCCTATTTAAAACAATATATAAAAACCCTGCTTCATTTTGCTTCACTTGGCCAACAGTAAAAGCCAAAGGCACACCCCTGTATGCCTGTTTGAGGTAAAACACATAGTACTAAGTATACCATGCAATACGATAGTTATAGTTGGATTTAAACCACTTTAACTCAACATCTATTACTCTTTCTGGTATAAAGTGTGCTCTGGAAATAAAGCAAAGAGCAGCGTTTCCATTTCCGTCTGTAACACATACTGTACCGGACCCAACGCTCTAACGATGTGTGTTTGTAGGCAAATAGTCAAAGGGGCACATGTTGGATTGGAGAATACCCACTACTAACATTTTCTATGACTGCATTTTTAAAACTCATTCTCACCCACATTTTATAGGCAAATGCACTTTCAGCAAATTCAGTTTACCCTCAGTTCAACTTTTATTTTATCAAAGGTGTTAATACTTTGTGAAGTTGCTCTTATACCTATGTAATAACACTATTTAAACTAGTCACAACTTTAGTCTCAAAACAAAGAGACCAACCCTTTAAGTCCTCCAGAAGACCCGCCTATTGGCTTATTGACATCTGAACCAGACTCTTGCCTCCAGTAAGAGGATGTGATTGGTCAGTGTGTGTTGGTGGTATACACACCGTCAGGCTCCAGTTGACTTGGGGCACTTTGGTGTGCAGACTGAGGCTGAAGATGAGGAGGAGGACGCCGGTGACTACAAAGGCACTGCAGCTGACAAACTCAAAGACGTAGACCCCTCCACAGGGTAGGCACAGCATGATGGTCTCTATGCAGATGAAGGCTATGAGGGCCAGGCCCTGCAGAGAGGGAGGAGGAAGAGGGACAGGTCAAGGACAGCCTTCAAATAAATGATAAACAAACAGTCCTACAGTAGAGTGAATAATGTGGAAATTGAGCAAGTTGAGGAGACTAAACTGCTTGGAGTAACCCTGGATTGTAGACTGTCATGGTCAAAGCATATTGATACAACAGTAGCTAAGATGGGGAGAAGTATGTCCATAATTAATTACAGGCCCTAGTTTTGTCGCACCTAGACTACTGTTCAGTAGTGTGGTCAGGTGCCACAAAGAGGGACTTGGGCAGCAAGTGAAGCTCAGAACAGGGCAGCACGACTGGCCCTTTAAAGTACACGGAGAGCTAACATTAATGACATGCATGTCAGTTTCTCCTGGTTCAGAGTGGAAGAGAGATTGACTTCATCACTGCTTGTTTTTGTAAGAGGTGTTGACAAGCTGAATGTACCGAGCCGTCTGTTTAAACTACTATCACACAGCTCGGAAACCCATGCATACCCCACAAGACATGCCACCAGAGGTCTCTTCACAGTCCCCATGTCCAGAACAGACTATGGGAGGCGCACAGTACTACATAGAGCCATGGCTACATGGAACTCTATTCCACATCAGGTAACTGATGCAAGCAGTAGAATCAGATATTAAAAACAGGTAAAAATACACCTTATGGAACAACTGGGACTGTGAAGAGACACACACAAGGGTATAGACGCATGCATACGCACACATTGTGATATTGTTGTATGGTGGTATTAAACATTTTGTATTGTAGGGCTTTGTCCCATCTGGGCCGGCTCAGACCGGATCTAGTTGCCTGACAGATCTAAATAAAGAATAATGGGCCCAGTCCAGCTTTTATCATCAAAAATGTATGAGCTCTGTGATAGGGAGTCTGAGAATTACAAACATGCTAATGCACAGACTTAGCACCCTTGCCATGTATACATTCACACCACCTTGAGAAAGCTAAAAGGTGGCTAATGGAACATTCCCTAGTCACATCACCCAGTGAGTGAGTGAGTGTGAGAGAGAGAGAGAGCGAGAGATACAACTACTTTGGTATCATCATCAAAAGTGACATTACACTAACGTATGCACACACACACATATGGAATCTCTTTGCTTTCTTCTCTCTCTCCTCCCACCACTTTTCAAAAAGCCCCATCCTAAGGGGAGCCTTCAGATGTCTTAAGCAGATGCTCCGTTTCACAGCTTTGATGGGGGAATTCACATGACTTCTTGACAGTCTACGTCTCCCCACATGGACTTGGACAGCCAAGCGTCTGAGGATCTGCTTACGGCCAGAACTCTAAAGTACCAATACTAAGTCTGGGATTTAACCAAAATAATCCAGCCCTAACAAACCTTATCAAGAAGACATGAAATGAGAGACACAGATTTGCATACGTACACTTCATGCCGTTTCTATAATGTATGACCTGCTCAGATTTCTTGTCTGTTTTCCATGCTCTTTTGAAATGCAGATTGAGCCAGGCCTCCCTGTGAAGAGCCAGCTCCTGTTTTGTAGTGGGTAAATGGAAAGGGTGATTGACAGACAACGCTTTCCATGGCAACAGTGGGACTTGAATATGCAGATTCACCTCCCATTTTAGCAGTGATGTTATCTTTAGACAGAGAAAAACCACTCATGAATCCTATGATTTCTGTGTAAAGAATTACCATAATTTTGAAGTTGGACAAAAGACCAATCCATCGGTAATATTAAAAATGTTCATGAAAACAAAACGTATTTTCTATCAAATATGTTGGCGCAGAGTCGAGGCCCAATCTGCTGATCAGAAGCCACTCTTTCCTCTCCATCCAAGTCATATATTACCCTAAAGAACAAGTTTGTGATACCTTGAGGATGAGTTAGTCATCCATCTGACAACAACAGTTTTCTAAAGCATAGAGCAATATTGTCAATGTCAGAATTTGCTGTAAAACTGGCATCTTAGTTGGCTGAGACAGGAGACAACTGACATGATAAGTGCAGTGAGTAAACCAACCAGTATATTGAACCAGATGATGATGGGAGCAGCAGGGAGGCTGCTCCCCTCCTTTCCTCTCCTCCCTAGCCCGGGCTGTTTCTTAAACCTGTCAGCCCAGTTAATGAACAGAACAGGGGACTGCAACAAGGCTTCTCATCACAACACTCCTCTGTTTCTGACACAGAGTTGTTGAGGCAGGAGAGCTGTCAGCAGAGAGTGCTTAGGCTACACTCCTGACAGGCTCTCTGGCTAACCACCCTTCACACGTTACACATCTGCTGCAATTACAGCCCTGCGAAGGCCAAACACTACAATCAATCTCACTTTCTCATGCGGACACACAAGCATGTACACAGTCACGAACATACAAACGTATTATTATTATTTCAGAGCGGCAAATCTTTGTCAACCCCACACTTACAGTAGATACCTCTGTGAGGAATTCTTTGAGCCTATGACAGACAAATTGAGGGGGAAAAATCCAGAAAATCACATTGTAGGATTTTTAATGAATTTATTTGCAAATTAGGGTGGAAAATAAGTATTTGGTCACCTACAAACAAGCAAGATTTCTGGCTCTCACAGACCTGTAACTTCTTCTTTAAGAGGCTCCTCTGTCCTCCACTCGTTACCTGTATTAAATGGCACCTGTTTGAACTTGTTATCAGTATAAAAGACACCTGTCCACTGATAATCTCCCTCGATCTGGGGCTCCACGCAAGATCTCACCCCGTGGGGTCAAAATGATCACAAGAACGGTGAGCAAAAATCCCAGAACCACACGGGGGGACCTAGTGAATGACCTGCAGAGAGCTGGGACCAAAGTAACAAAGCCTACCATCAGTAACACACTACGCCGCCAGGGACTCAAATCCTGCAGTGCCAGACGTGTCCCCCTGCTTAAGCCAGTACATGTCCAGGCCCGTCTGAAGTTTGCTAGAGTGCCTTTGGATGATCCAGAAGAGGATTGGGAGAATGTCATATGGTCAGATGAAACCATAATATACGTTTTTGGTAAAAACTCAACTCGTCGTGTTTGGAGGACAAAGAATGCTGAGTTGCATCCAAAGAACACCATACCTACTGTGATGCATGGGGGTGGAAACATCATGCTTTGGGGCTGTTTTTCTGCAAAGGGACCAGGATGACTGATCCGTGTAAAGGAAAGAATGAATGGGGCCATGTATCGTGAGATTTTGAGTGAAAACCTCCTTCCATCAGCAAGGGCATTGAAGATGAAACGTGGCTGGGTCTTTCAGCATGACAATGATCCCAAACACACCGCCCGGGCAACGAAGGAGTGGCTTCGTAAGAAGCATTTCAAGGTCCTGGAGTGGCCTAGCCAGTCTCCAGATCTCAACCCCATAGAAAATCTTTGGAGGGAGTTGAAAGTCCGTGTTGCCCAGCGACAGCCCCAAAACATCACTGCTCTAGAGGAGATCTGCATGGAGGAATGGGCCAAAATACCAGCAACAGTGTGTGAAAACCTTGTGAAGACTTACAGAAAACGTTTGACCTGTGTCATTGCCAACAAAGGGTATATAACAAAGTATTGAGAAACTTTTGTTATTGACCAAATACTTATTTTCCACCATAATTTGCAAATAAATTCATTAAAAATCCTACAATGTGATTTTCTTGATTTCTTTTCCTCATTTCGTCTGTCATAGTTGACGTGTACCTATGATGAAAATTACAGGCCTCTCTCATCTTTTTAAGTGGGAGAACTTGCACAATTGGTGGCTGACTAAATACTTTTTTCCCCCACTGTATTTCTCCATGCCAGCCAATTGAAACCCCATTAGAGCTGTGTTTGTCTAGGTGCACACAGTGTGACATTACAACATGGACGTGTCCAGACTGGGGTGGAGGGTGGATGCAGTGGATGAAGTCATTGCTGAGACGTGATAAAAGCAGCTCTTCCCAGGCCCAGTGTGGAGCAGGTGTCAGACAGGGAGGGGGGAGGGGGATGGAGTTACTATGCATGTTGGGTAAGCGTGTAACTAATGATTATATGTCAACCCCCCACCCTTCTCCAAAGCTTCCCATTCTTCATCTGTGGGATTAGGTACACTGTGAGATGCTTGCAATGGCCACTTGGAGTCAGATCCCAGTCTTGAGGTAGGCATCACAACAGACTGCACTCCAACGGCCTTTGATCAGTGGCGTCCTGTGTATTTCGTTCCTGGCCTAAATGGCTCATAGTAACCTTTGTGAAAATAAGTTTTTCTCCTGTTTCTTGACCCCAGATATGTCTGTAGAGCCAGAAACTCCACCTATCATGTGTGTTTGTTAAAGACCAGTCTGAGAGAAACACTGGAACAGAACACACAGTCTCTCCAGAATGGGAAGTGCTAGCTGACACGGAGCAGCATCTGGTAAATTAATTTAGCTCCATACACAGCCCACAAAAATGGCCTTCAATAATATTTAACTTCCCCATGTTAAAGCACCACAAAAAAATATCTACATTACAAGGTCCATTGACACAATTGAATAGCTATGTAACAACTTAATCCAAACGGCAACACTCTCCAAAAGAGATGAAAAGGGAGTTTTATCTTGGTATTATAAAAGGCCACAGTGTAAATTGCATTATAACCAGTACTAAAAAAGGAGGGACTGTCAAAATCTGATTGGGTAAGAGCTGATTGGGTAAGAGCTGATTGGGTAAGAGCTGATTGGGTTAGAGCTGATTGGGTTAGAGCTGACTGGGTTGGAGCTGACTGGGTTGGAGCTGACTGGGTTGGAGCTGACTGGGTTGGAGCTGACTGGGTTGGAGCTGACTGGGTTGGAGCTGACTGGGTTGGAGCTGACTGGGTTGGAGCTGATTGGGTTAGGTGGTCCTCTGTAGCTCAATTGGTAGAGCATGGCAATTGTAACGCCAGGGTAGTGGGTTCGATCCCCGGGACCACCCATACGTAAAAATTTATGCACACATGACTGTAAGTCGCTTTGGATAAAAGCGTCTGCTAAATGGCATATTATTTATTATTATTATGACTTGAGCTCTGTGGAAATGCCTAGAGGAGATGAGATCCACAAAAGCCTGCTGTCACGAGACTTTTCACACCCATGTAAAGTTTCATCATAGACTGACACAAAGAAAGGGTCTCTGAAGGTGATCGCACCAGTCTTCTGGGGCTACTGCTTATCCCAGTAACACCAGGTCAACCTCATGCCTTCAGAGTGTTTATGTAACAACAACCTCTATGGGACCAGAGACCAAGAGGGTGTGGCTGTAGGAACAGTTCTCATACTAAAGTCCTTAGGAGAGGTAAATGTGCTGCCGGGAGGAGGGTTTCAACTCAACTAATGTGACATATACTACACACACAACCCTCACGATTAGACCAGCAAGGTTAGCACCGAACATTCATCTTTACTAGCCCACCATTATGCTTTTTGATTTATAGCTGAAATCGTAAGTGATTTTATGTAACTTAATAGTGAATAGCCTAAGAGAGAAGGATATCTTATCATCAACCCTCCCTTTAAACTATACTTTAGTCCATTATCACTAGTTTAATTTAGTTCAACAATATCAATCAACAACTTTGAATTAATGCAGATTGAACTGGAATGATCCATTAACATTGAGAGTGCTCTCGTTCAGGGAAAAACTGGGCCCATTTGCAGATGAGGTACAATGAGTTGTGTTTTGGGGATTAAATAGTCAAACACAAGACCTTAGCAGTTCCCTGTGAGGCCCTTCAAGTCAGTCAATCATTGTCCAGCGGCAGTGGAAAAGGCTGTGGCATACATACACTCCAAGGTCAACTGACAGTCAAACCGGGCCTACATATGGGAGCTCTGCTATTGTAAAACTATTATGGTCAACCTTGAGCATATTTCCTGATTGAGCTGTCGTGAGTAAATGTAAGGAATGTGTTATCAACTCCTCTGTACTATCGTTCAAAAGAAACCCCTTTACAGAGAAAGCATACAGTGACTAGATCCATAAAGCCAACAGGGCTTGGTTGGCAGACATGGTGAAGGTGAGATAACATTTACATTACATTTACATCATTTAACAGACGCTCTTATCCAGAGCGACTTACAAATTGGTGCATTCACCTTATAGCCAGTGGGATAAACACTTTACAATATGTATTTTTTTTTTTTTTTTTGTGAGATAATGACATTCAGATGTCCTGCCCAGTGCAAGTATTGAATTAGACTGGCATGAACAAGATAAAGCAAAGCAGTGTGATAAAAACAACAACACAGAGTTACATATGGGGTAAAAAAACATAAAGTCAAAAAATACAACAGAAATATATATACAGTGTGTGCAAATGTAGCAAGTTATGGAGGTAAGGCAATAAATAGGCTATAGTGCAAATAATTACAATTAGTATTAACACTGAATGCTAGATGTGCAAGAGATTATGTGCAATAGAGATACTGGGGTGCAAAAGAGCAAAATAATACAATATAGGATAAGGTAGTTGGGTGGGCTAATTTCAGATGGGCTGTGTACAGGTGCAGTGATCGGTAAGGTGCTCTGACAACTGATGCTTAAAGTTAGTGAGGGAGATAAGAGTCTCCAGCTTCAGAGATTTTTGCAATTCGTTCCAGTCATTGGCAGCAGAGAATGGCGGCCAAAGGAGGTGTTAGCTTTGGGAATGACCAGTGAGATATACCTGCTGGAGCGCAGACTACGGGTGGGTGCTGCTATGGTGACCAATGAGCTAAGATAAGGCGGGGATTTGCCTAGCAGTGATTTATTGATGGCCTGGAGCCAGTGGGTTTGACGACGAACATGTAGTGAGGACCAGCCAACAAGAGCGTACAGGTCACAGTGGTGGGTAGTGTATGGGGCTTTGGAGACAAAACGGATGGCACTGTGATAGACTACATCCAATTTGCTGAGTAGAGTGTTGGAGGCTATTTTGTAAATGACATCGCCGAAGTCAAGGATCGGTAGGATAGTCAGTTTTAGGGCATGTTTGGCAGCATGAGTGAAGGAGGCTTTGTTGCGAAATAGGAAGCCGATTCTAGATTTAACTTTGGATTGGAGATTCTTAATGTGAGTCTGGAAGGAGAGTTTACAGTCTAACCAGACACCTAGGTATTTGCAGTTGTCCACATACTCTAGGTCAGACCCGTCGAGAGTGGTGATCCTAGTCGGGTGGGCGGGTGCCAGCAGCGTTCGATTGAAGAGCATGCATTTAGTTTTACTAGTGTTTAAGAGCAGTTGGAGGCTACTGAAGGAGTGTTGTATGGCATTGAAGCTCGTTTGGAGGTTTGTTAACACAGTGTCCAATGAAGGGCCAGATGTATACAAAATGGTGTCGTCTGCGTAGAGGTGGATCTGAGAGTCACCAGCAGCAAGAGCGACATCATTGATATACACAGAGAAAAGAGTCGGCCCAAGAATTGAACCCTGTGGCACCCCCATAGAGACTGCCATAGGTCCAGACAACAGGCCCTCCGATTTGACACATTGAACTCTATCTGAGAAGTAGTTGGTGAACCAGGCGAGGCAGTCATTTGAGAAACCAAGGCTATTTAGTCTGCCAATAAGAATGCGGTGGTTGACAGAGTCGAAAGCCTTGGCCAGGTCGATGAAGACGGCTGCACAGCACTGTCTATTATCGATTGCGGTTATAATATCGTTTAGGACCTTGAGCGTGGCTGAAGTGCACCCATGACCAGCTCGGAAACCGGATTGCATAGCGGAGAAGGTACGGTGGGATTCGAAATGGTCGGTGATCTGTTTGTTAACTTGGCTTTCAAATACTTTCGAAAGGCAGGGCAGGATGGATATAGGTCTGTAGCAGTTTGGATCTAGAGTGTCACCCCCTTTGAAGAGGGGGATGACCGCGGCAGCTTTCCAATCTCTGGGGATCTCAGACGTTACGAAAGAGAGGTTGAACAGGCTAGTAATAGGGGTTGCGACAATTTCGGCGGCTAGTTTTAGAAAGGGTCCAGATTGTCTAGCCCAGCTGATTTGTAGGGGTCCAGATTTTGCAGCTCTTTCAGAACATCAGCTGTCTGAATTTGAGTGAAGGAGAAGGGGGGGGGGGGGGGGGGGGGGGGGCATGGGCAAGTTGCAGCGGAGGGTGCAGAGTTGGTGGCCGGGGTAGTGGTAGCCAGGTGGAAAGCATGGCCAGCCGTAGCAAAATGCTTGTTGAAATTCTCGATTATTGTAGATGGTGATAGTGTTTCCTAGCCTCATGTGCAGTGGGCAGCTGGGAGGAAGTGCTCTTATTCTCCATGGACTTTACAGTGTCCCAAAACTTTTTGGAGTTAGTGCTACAGGATGCAAATTTCTGTTTGAAAAAGTTAGCCTTTGCTTTCCTGACTGCTTGTGTATATTGGTTCCTAACTTCCCTGAAAAGTTGCATATCGCGGGGGCTATTTGATGCTAATGCAGTATGCCACAGGATGCTTTTGTGCTGGTCAAGGGCAGTCAAGTCTGAGGAGAACCAGGGGCTAGATCTGTTCTTAGTTCTGTATTTTTTGAATGGGGCATGTTTATTTAAGATTGAGAAATTACTTTTAAAGAACAACCAGGCATCCTCTACTGACGGAATGAGATCTATATCTATCCAGGATACCTGGGCCAGGTCAATTAGGAAGGCCTGCTCCCTAAAGTGTTTTAGGGAGCGTTTGACAGTGATGAGGGGTGGTCTTTTGACCGCGGACCCGTTACGGACGCAGGCAATAAGGCAGTGATCGCTGAGATCCTGGTTGAAGACAGCGGAGGTGTATTTAGAGGGTAAGTTAGTCAGGATGATATCTATGAGGGTACCCATGTTTACGGATTTAGGGTTGTACGTGGTAGGTTCGTTGATCATTTGTGTGAGATTGAGGGCATCTAGTTTGGATTGTAGGATGGCCGGGGTGTTAAGCATATCCCAATTTAGGTCACCAAGCAGTACGAACTCTGAGGATAAATGGGGGACAATCAATTCACATATGGTGTCCAGGGCACAGCTGGGGGCTGAGGGGGGTCTGTAGCAAGCGGCAACAGTGAGAGACTTATTTCTGGAAAGGTGGATTTTTAGAAGTAGAAGCTCAAACTGTTTGGGCACAGACCTGGATAGTATGATAGAGCTCTGCAGGCTCTCTACAGTAGATTGCAACTCCACCCCCTTTGGCAGTTCTATCTAGACGGAAGATGTTGTAGTTGGGGATGGACATTTCAGAATTTTTGGTGGCCTTCCTAAGCCAGGATTCAGACACTGCTAGAACATCAGGGTTGGCGGAGTGTGCTAACGCAGTGAATAACTCAAACTTAGGAAGTAGACTTCTGATATTTACATGCAAGAAACCAAGACTTTTGCGATTACAGAAGTCAGCAAATGATAGCGCCTGGGGAGTAGGAGTGATACTGAGGGCTGCAGGGCCTGGGTTAGCCTCTACATCACCAGAGGAACAGAGGAGGACTAGAATAAGGATACGGCTAAAGGCTTTAAGAACTGGTCTTCTAGTGCGTTGGGTACATAGAATAAAGGGGGCAGATTTCCGGGCGTTGTAGAAAAGATTCAGGGCATTATGTACAGACAAGGATATGGAAGGATATGAGTAAAGTGGAGGTAAACCTAAGCGTTGGGTAACAATGAAAGAGATAGCATCACTGGAGGCACCAATTGAGTCGGTCTCCGCGTGTATGGGGGGTGGGACAAAGGAGCTATCTAAGGCAGGTTTAGCTGGGCTGGGGGATCTACAGTGAAATAGTACAATTAGAAATAACCGAACCAGTGTTTTGTTTGTTTTTATGTAACCTTTAGTTGGTCAGCTTTCTCCAACTATGATTATTATTGTTATTACATGCTTATTTTTGTCAGTCTCATCTGACCAAGCAGTGAACGTCCACCTGGGCACAGAGAGTTGCTCTCAGCACAGACTTTACACGCAGGCTACAGATGTCTTTCTCAAATACAAATATCTCCGGTGTCTGTTCTCATTTTACATTTCAGTCATTTAGCACACACTCTTATCCAGAGCAACTTACAGTTAGTGAGTGCATACATTTTTTATTTTATTTCATACTGGCCCCCCCGTGGGAATCGAACCCACAACCCTGGCGTTGCAAGCGCCATGCTCTACCAACTGAGCTACATGGGGCCTAACCCTTGTCAGACTGGTACTGTGCCTTTTCTGGCTTTGAATCTGGTGAATCCTCTGAACATCAAAATTCTTTGTACAATGAGTTCATTTAAAGAGTCAGTGTGTGTATGTTTTGACCGCTGTACAGTGCAACAAAAGCCAAATAACGTTCTATAACTGCTAATGAAGCACTATTCGAACATGGCATCTTTTGGGTAGGGGGGTCAGGTTGTTTCCCTTGGCACTGTATGCACTTAATTACTTCCTTAGTTCCACTGATTTTCGCCCACTGTGGATACAGTGCTTCATCTGTAGGCTATGTGAGAGCACCATCTCTGACTGAGCAGTTTGGCACCAATAGAGGGGACAAAACTCTGGCGGAGACGTTTCCTCTGCAGCTGAATTATCATAGCTTTGGGAGGCATCATCTTCCTTTGTTGTTGTGTTTTCTCCCTCCTAGACATCTGGTTTTAGGTGTATTGGCTCAAACCCCACATTAAACTATGCTGTTTCCCCTTCCTGTAAACTGCTGAGAGAAATGTTGCTGATTTCTTGAAAATAAACAATAGTCATACAAATTGTTATAACTGGTTGATATGGAATTCTTTCTAGTAGAGGAATTTGTCATTATTTGGGCTACTTCCATTGCAAAATCATGTACTGACTCCATGTACATATCTACCTCAAATACCTCTGCACATATGGTACTGTTACTCCCTGTATATAGCGCCATTCTTGTGTATGTTATTTTTTTAACTCTGCATTGTTGGGAAAGGCTCGTCAGCAAGCATTTCCACCGGTAAAGTCTTAAACCAGTTGTATTCGGCGCATGTGACAAAATTTGATTTGAAAAAATGTGAAAGTGTAGCAGAGTGGACTGTGGGGTGAGCCACATGCAAACTGGGCTACTACTATGTCACTATGCCTAAAGAGACAGGTCATCTATCAAAAACAGACAAGCACAGGCTACACACATACAAATGCAAACACTGTAGGCTACAACACACATCATTCAATGAAGCGTTTTCACATGCACATCTTTAACACTTTTCAGTAGCCTAGTCATGCAGTCTGTTGAATGATTTGACTTAATTATTTAACTTACCACTTCAACGGCCTTTAATATGCCAAAGTGTGACTTCAGGTATTCAAAGTCACACCTAATGCCACCCAAAACATTCCTTGAGTGTACGGGCTCGGTGGTGGGCTGGTATGGGCTACTTGCTCCGGAGATCATGGAAGTGTTGGAGGCCTCGCCATCAAACCCCTCCGCCTCCTCGCTGTTCCTCATGATGATTTCACTGTACGCTCCAACACGCACCGGGAACTTTTAGTAGAGTAGCCCGGTGGATTACACACCGTTTGGCTTTGAAAACAAAAAACACTTTATGCAATAAGCGAAAGGGAAAAAATAAAAACACCTCACCTTTGATGCGACGATCGCACAACAAGCTACAATGTTGTGGCGAAAAATTTTTTAAAGGGGGAACAATGCTTATTCCGCGAATATTCCTCGTTGATCAAATGCTGCTTCCAAAAAGAATGTGATACAAATTGCGTTACAGTTGCCCACCAGTGTAAGGGACGATTCTGGTTTGTTCTGCACGCACCGAAAACACCTATTCAGGGAGTTGGAGAAACAGGCGAGCTACATTCCGCTCCTTTGTGATACTTTTATGTAACGAACATAAATCCATCATGGCCAGAAGAAACGAGACATGCCGTTTTTACACCATGGCGTTTATAGGCCAAATGTTCAGAGCTGGAATACAAATTATATTACGGTTGCTGTAAATGTAAAGTCTTCGCCCCCAAAAAACGGCACATTCCTGTATGCACATGCTTTAAAAAGTTTTTAAAAGCTTGAAGACGACCATTTGGATATAGTAACTTCTGGTAGCCTAGGTCCCGGAGGCAGTCTTTACTATCCCGGTTGATCTAATTAATAGTGAAGGGCTTTCCCGATGTGTGTATAATCGTTCGTTGATAGATACTGCGTAGGTTTTCCACTGCCATGCGGGGCGCGGAGAGTGGTGGTCTATGATCGTGACGTGTACACAGGGTACACTGATGACGCTTTGCCAGGTAGGCCCATCATCTCTATGGCTAGGCCTACTGTATAGCGTTTGCAATAGTAGCCCGATTACTGTAACATATCTCCAAATAGGCCAATAAACATACATGAAACAGAACAGGCAAAACCAATATGCTCCGAGACTTTTCATAAAGGCATAATTCATAAAGTAACCATAGGCAACATTACTTGCTCTGACCATCAGAGTAAGTCGTGTCTACTAAAAGTGATGACAGACAGAGAAGACTGATCACTATCATCTGTTCAGCTCCGTTTACTTTGGGTGGGTCAGATGTAGGGCAAGGACAAATAAATCGCACTTAAGTGTCCTACTGTCCTCGTGTCTGGAAAAACACTGCACTGCCCTCTCATGGTCAAGGTCATGAGAAAACCTAAGTACTACCGAGTACTGACCCTGAAAATCACTTGTTCACAAGGGACAAGTAAGCAGGGTGATATTTATTGCACTTCCACTTAGTCCATTCACTTGCTACTCAAAAGTGACAACCTGTAGGTTGAGGGGTTCAATAAAATGACTAACCAATATGTACCCAGTGGTGTCACTTATAGAATCCTCACTGAATACCAGTAAATTAAACAGTGAAACAAAGCAATATTCTGTGTGGATTTTACAGTGTGGATCTAGACACACATTATCATGATTTGAGACAAAGGGATACAAAAGGTAACAAAAGTCTGGATTCTTTGTTTTATTGAAGCCAAGGCTGACAGACACTTTTCCTTATCTTTGTCGGCACAAAAAGCGACATACCACATGGCTGCATACTGAATCATGTTAAAGCCATACAATCACACTCATTTGAATATGTCCAGGGCACAAACACAGTACTCCATGTGGTTAAAAGGTTTTTATATCCTGAATAAAAAGGACTGGAAGCAAAAGCTTTTCAAATATCCTATATGTGTATATTTTCAAGGGCTGAAGGCATATCACTAAGATGATGTATAGAGCAGTCGCTTTTAACTTAAGCGTGAACTTTTTTTTACAAGATCTGTTTTTCATTCAATCTTGGGGATATCCAATCATCAAAAACATGCAATTTTGAAATCAAGCAGCGTGATAGTACTTTTCCTTGATGTACTAGCCAAACATCCAGATTTCTGTTTGGCTAATGCAGATGTATAGTAACTATGTGGAGACAAACAGAGTGAACTAGTTCATGAATTTCTAGGCTGTTACCACCCTAAAGATATCTGTCCTATATAATTTAAGCAAAATAATGCTTGCAAACAGCAACCATTGTTGTGCAGAAAAATCTAACAGAATAATACTAAGGAGATGCTCTGCAATGGGCAGGTGTGACAGAAATACACATGAAAAACTAAGGAGCATTTTAGTTTATTTGGATAATTTCTTAAAAATCTCAGAAAAGGTCTAGTTTTAAAATTCTGGAGCAGATTTGACTGCCAGGGCCATGTTCGTTATACTGCTAATCCCAAAAATATTAACGCAATATTAAGTGCATCACATTTGTGAGTAATTCATCAATACACATTCTAAGCAGGCAGGAAGAGAAGTATGCATTCTCTAGTTTAAACAATAACATCTGGGGGTTCAATACAACTCTCCAAATGAAGGTGATTATTTCAACATAAGGAAATACTCCTGGCTGTCCCAATATTGTGCTTGAATTTCAGCAACAGATCTTAGATGCACATTTCTGCCCAATGAAGATAAAATAAGCACTTCATTCTGATAGAATCAAAATCCAGCCAGTACTCATCTTATTCTTACAAGAGATTAGTTCATACAAAATAAAGTAGACTGCACACCTCTTGGTCTTGTGGTTTTTTTCCCTTACAGAGCAAAATAAATAAATAAATGAGTTAGCCTGGCAACTCAAGTAGGGGTTAAGTACACGGACCACCTTAGACTGTACTTTGGAATGATGGGTGTTCCACACAGGGCCAGGGGAGATGGTCACCTGGGAATCAAATGAGACTATTCTACACAAAACAGAACACACTGATTGCTGCATCTTTGGTTCCAGGTTCCAATTCTATGTAGTTTCCGTTGTTGTTGTAGGTTGTTTTAAAAGCCAAGTAGCTGCTCTTACAGTTTATGAAATCAATGTTACAATTGCTGATCTGCAAATTAACCATAGCTAGACTGTAGGTAGATTTGAGGGTGATCATCTAGTTATTTCATTGTGATTAATCAAATAATCTTGTGATTTTTACAAATAATTTGATATGGTACAGTATTAGAGTGGATGTAATTTTTCAAAAATTAACAAAAAACATTGGCAGAACTAGGACAATTAAAACCTACAAAGGGCACAAGCAAAGGCTGATAATATTGACTAACATCTACCCTGAGTGAAGGCAGGGTACACAGATGGACAAATTGTGAACTGTACGTACACTGAAGGCAAAAACTCAACATTGTAAATGGGCACTGAAGATCACACAAAAGATCTGTGGACATTGCAATTTCCTACTGGGACACGATTTCTACATCATGTAGAAATCGGGAATGTTTAACCTGACCTGCCATATAGCTTGTATAAAAACATTTGAAGCTGAAAATGAACAGAGCTAAATAATTCTTTTTAAGGATAACCCATTTCATTAAAACCGTAGTTATTGATTTCCATATGATTTGGCCGCGCAAGTGAGTGGTTTAAACCACGCAAGTGTTCATCTGGGGGACACAAATACTCTAAAACGTGTGGTTGCTTCTAAAAATCTGCATCTAGATACCTTTACAGTTTATAAAATGAAAGGCATTCCCATTATTGCTCAAGCGAACAATGTCATATAGGCCACGGAAGCTACATTTCTCTTGAAACCATATGCAAAGACCACAGACTTCTTATACAAAAAAATTTAACAAAATAAATTACTTGAATGACCGAACTGGACAACAACCTTTTATCGTTGGTGCTACAGTGCATTTCCTCTTTAAGTAGACAAGCAGCTCCACTATGACACAAACAGTTACTGTGCCAGGCACTTGGGAGTTATAGTAGGAAAGATGCTGCCCCCTAAAACACCTCTAGCCAAAAGAGCGTTCCTTGCAAACTCTACACTTGCCAATCCCAACAATGCTCATTTTATCCCAGACATTTCTTCATAATTTTGTAAAAGAATTGCATTTTGTACAAAATAAAACCAAAGCTTGAATTGCAATTTCGCTGATATTTACAGAATCCTTAAAGATGACTAGTTGGACCTGCCATTTTGTGGGCAGACGGCACTGTTTGCTATCAGCTATCTGTATTTGTCACATTAGTGTCATGACGTCAGTGGAGTTTAACATGTTATGAGATATAGCTATCTAAACCCTTTTCTAACAGTGCAGAAAAAAAGAAAATAACGATTTTTTTTTTATATATAAATACATCAGTATCATCTCTAACCTTTTTTACATAATACATACGCTTGCAAGTATTTCATTTTTTAAATGAATATATTTAGGGTTTAATTGTTCTTATCGCAACCGCTTTCCTTCCATAAGATTAGCTGAACAAGAGGCCACAGCACTTTTCCACTCTTTAAGCTTGTGAGGGAGGGTGTATCCCCTTGCTAACTGAGGGCTCCCAGACCAGGGGATTTGGTTGCCTCCCAAGGAGTGCGCACGCATTACTTAACCTGACATCCCTCGCAAAAAAACCATTACAATTGAAGTAATAAGGATAGATACTGCCAAGTCTTCAACATCCTCCTTCTCCAAACCTCCACCTTTCGTTCTGTCCCCATCTTACCAATATAACCAATATAGCTGATAGCATCTCAAACTCATTTGGCGAAACAGTCTGCTAACTGATCTATACATTGGGAATTTGGTCATATTTCGTTTTTTTTATGCTTGTGTGTTTGTTTTCCAGAGTATTTGCAGTGGACAATGCTGTTGTTGCGTTCACGCTTCGTTCTCTGTTGGTGGTGTTGTTAGCTGTAACCATGGAGTCCGGTTTGCGAGTCATTCTATCCAACTCTGTCTGGACGTCAGTCAAAACCGGCTTCTGCCCTTGGAAAATAAAAGAGAGAACAGAAAGTAATCTCCTGTAGCTTCTGTGCCTGTACTATAAATAAGACATTGACTGTTATGGCCAGCAAGCGGATGGAAACTGATGAGATGTGGTCCCATGCTAAATGACTTCAGTTGCGTCACGTGACAGGTGCACACATGCAAAACCAATCATGAGACACTAAAAAACATTCCATGCATATTCTTTCAGTTTTATGTCATTAGCTGCCCGAGGCCAGTAGGATACAAGGCCATGCAAGTATGCTGGGACAATGGGTTAATACAACTTCATACTGAATGGATGAACAGAAACAAGGATAAATAAGCAGTGAGCCGTGGTATGTGCTTGGTGTCATTTGGGGTGGTTTTGTGACATTTTGCAGCCAGAGAATGACACATTGTTAACAGCTGTGTTGTCCCATGCATACAGGCCTTTCACAAGTTCCTCCAGTGGCATAGGAGTTGAGTGGAACCCTTCCCCTCCTCTAGGACCTGCCAAGAACTCCCTTTTCCCCCTCTCTTTCTCTCAGGCTCTAGGGGTGAACCTCCAGACAACAGCATGGTCCAAAGGCAACAACATGAGGCAGTTAAACCAGAGACAAGCCAGTGACGCCCTGGATGGCCAGGCCAGAGGAGACTGTACCTGTTTTCTTGACTGATCCTGGAGATCCTGCTCCTGCAGCTCCGGTGCCTGGACTCCCAGGGGACCCAGTCTTTTTACTCAAAAGGCTGTTAAAGAAGTTGGCCAAAACTCCCTCGTTTGCTGCTGCTCCTGAGACACAAACACATGAGACGAGCATCCCTTAGGATCAGAACCATGAGATTTAAAGGAGAAATCTATTTCTTCCATACAATTCAGGCACGCAACAGTTACTACTGTATGATCATGATATTCATCATTTCATCATAAAAAAACATTATCAGTGCACATACAGGATCATACTTTAACTGGAACACGATTGATATAATTCAATGCACATGCTTTCCTAGAGGATTAACTGTCCATTTTCGTATAGCGTATCCAAATCCTTTCCTCCCTACATGTCCTTGCCAACAGCAACCAACTACAGGGTGGGGGATGCAGGTCTCAATTAAATTTGGTTTAATTTAAGCAGATCTATTTACGCTGGTATGCACGGCTCCCCCACTGAGCTTAATGGAGAAAATGTATATATTTCTCCCGAAGCAAGGCCAGCGGCCGGAGGTGTGCAGGAATCCATTGTTTATGGAATTATTTCAATAGCTACCTCAGGGGGGCAGTGGTTACACAGCAGTCATACACTTCCAACAACAAAAAAAAGTGTTGCCCAAATTACTACCAGTTCTCATTCAACAGTTTCCATGGTGCTCTGTAAAAATAAAGGTGGGCAGTAAGTTCCAGTGGTCCAACTTACCCTTCATGTTGGGGTCAGGTTTCTTGACTGCGGTCATTGGCGAGACGCTGGCCACATTGGTAGGGCCTGTACGGCCAGTGGGCCGAGGAGAGCCAGAAGCAGTCCGTCCAGGAGATTCCTGAAACACAGACAGAAGACAGAGAGCAGAGTACAGTGAGGCAAATTCAATTAAATCATGGCTCCTTTTGATGAATTGACTGTCATCAAACACTCATTTGTCAAGAAAATGTGGTCAAGAAATGTAAAAAAGTGTGGTTGATGTTATCACACTTACTGTTGCTCCTCTTGTTGGTGTGGCCGGCTGCTTGGCCAGCAAAGACTTAAGAACAGACAAAAATAAAATGGATGTGAGACAATTCAATTTTATTTTCACATATTTTTCCTGAAATAAATTGGGCCCAAAAGAATTCAGCATTTTTATCTTATATTTTCCAACCCCCATAACATTCCCAGAAACACTTTCTTACATCACAGTTTATGGGCATAGTAGAAACAAACACTGTCTGGATGGACACTGGTAGCTTAACCTAACAGGGACTTGAAGCCCAGCACAAAGAGAAAGCGCTCTTTGCCCTGAGGCAACCACGTGACCTCTCAGAAACCAATTATGCTTAAGCCCTGGGAGTTCTCAGGCTCCTGATTGGCCAGTGAGGAAGTGCAGAATAGGAACCCCAGGCTTTGAAGCCTGGGAAAGGCTAATAAAATGAAACTGGCTTCACTATCCACAATCATAGCTTTGAACAAAACCAATCATTTTTTTCTCAGATCACTACCATCTAGTGTGCATCTTTAGAAGAGGAGATAACATGGAATTGCAAACATGAAAGGCATCCCAGAACTGTGTGTTCCAGAATGTAAACAAACACACATACCTGTTGCTTCATAAGGAACACCTGCTCGTCCTCCGCGTTGACCTCCTTATCATGAACCAGCTGGAGAGAGAAGGCGTGAATGTCAAACCAAGGGAGATGCATAAGGAAAATGAGTAAAATGCCAAGTAATGTCTCTTATCTGTAGAAATCTCATGAGCCTACCTTCCGTACTGGAGGCTTCATGATGAATTCTTCAAAGGGGTCTTCAGGTCTCACTGTTGTGAAATTCTCATGCAAAATTGCAATCTTCTTCTCATTGTCCCATCCAGATGGTCTAGGAAAAGAAAATAGTTTTGTTTGATACTCGAGCACTTCCCACGGGGATCCAGTATGAAAAATATATGCACTCACTAACTGGAAGTCGCTCTGGATAAGAGCGTCTGCTAAATGACTAAAATGTAAATGTAACCAACAGCTTGTTAAAATAACCTTCAAAGACAATACAGTACATGTTCATATAACTTCAGAACTGTCCACCAGTCATATCTGGGGGCAGATAGCCTAGCTTTTAAGAGCGTTGGGCCAGTAACCCCCCCCCCCCCCCCCCCCCCCCCGTTAGTCATCGCATACCTTAGAAAGCTATTTATAACTTATCAGAAATGTCCAGATCAACTAGCCCATGTCAGCTAACGTTTTTTTTTTTTAAATTACATTTTAGCCCATAGATATTGTTGTAATTTTTATGTCACTCAAATATCACGACTACACATTAGACATGGCAAAAATATATAGAATTGCAAGAAGATTAGCTTTAAAACGGGAAAATGTTCTTTGCACCCCATAACAAAATGTGTAGAATTGCAGGAAATACGTTTTAAACCTGCAAAATTCTCTCCAACAAGAGGGGTGTGAAAAGTCTGTCACAAACGTTGCTTGTGCCCATAGAAATAGACGTGGCGCGGGATGTTCCCCAACGCTGGAAGGGAGGGCCCCGAGTGAATACGTTTGGGAACCCCTGTGCTAAATGACTTAAATGTTAAGATTTTAACCTCCTTTTTATTTTTGAGGAAATGAAAGGCCAAATCACAAGATGGAAAATACTGATTTCATTTGTCTCTGTTACCTCAATATGTGAGCACCTAACAGAGCATAAAGCATTCACTTACATCAGAATAGCATCCTTCTCCACCACTAAGGCAGGCGTGGTGAACTGGAAGTCGTATATTTTGTGCACTATGTATTTATAGAGGAGGTCCAGGTTCTTCTCCTCTTTGACGGAGGTGTATATCAAGGCAGCTCCATCTGTCAGGTGGGATTAAGGAACATGCAGAGACATGATAGGGCACAAAATTAAATAGAACACTATTATGATATTGTATCTCTATGGTGGGGCCTGTCATTCTAACAAGGGGGAGTGTTAAGTGTTTGAGTGGAAAGGATACACTGTAAGCAGAATCGTCGGATGTGGGACTGGATGAAGTCGAAGTGCTCCTCTCTGAAGTCGTGCTCCTTCTCTAAAACACTGACTGCATCACACTGTGGAGAGAGAGACATCGTTAGAACACTGCACATAGCCATAATGACATTTGAAATGTCTCGATTCCTTTGAAAGTAATGTTTACTGTTCATTTTTGATTGTTTATTTCACTTGCTTTGGCAATGTAAACATGTGTTTCCCATGCCAATAAAACCCTTTGAATTGGGGAGAGAACGAGAGAAGAACGAGAGAAAGAGAAGTACACAGCAATTAGGCTACAACTGGAGCAAGAAAACTCTCTCCTTCCCTCCCTCCAGGAAGGAACAGTAAAACCCGGCAGGCAGGCACCACCCTGTCTCTCACACACAGATACACTTCCCCACAGTGACCACAAGATGGGAACCTTGACAACAACAAGGCTGACTGGCTGAGCATGACTCAGGAAATGCCAGGCTAGCTACTTCCTGAAATAAAAAACGTCAGTAGAAAAGACAGCAGGCCTGGTTAAATATGCAGGAGCCGGTCATTAAATATACATACCCAAGTGCCACACTCTGTGGGACAAAGGGATACTTCGGGATTTTGGCAATGAGGCTCTTTATCTACTTTCCCAGAGTCAGATGAACTCGTGGATACCATTTTTTATGTCTCTGTGTCCAGTATGAAGGAAGTTAGAGATAGTTTCGCGAGCCAGTGCTAACTGGCGTTAGCACAATGACTGGAAGTCTATGGTATCTGCTAGCATGATTCACCATTTAACCTGTGTATGTGTCAGCGAGTAAACTGGTATTCACATTCCTTATAACTTCGTAAACTGCAGCAGGTGGTGCAATGTATAGTTCTCACTGAATCTGTCATGATCAAAATCCATGACATAATGGATTTAGAAAATACAGCAAATAGTCTGAAAATATGGAACACCAAATGACAGCAGTCTCTTCAAAGACATACCACACTTCAAATCCACAAAATCCCTATGTATAGTGCCTGGAGAGGACACTTCACTAATGCTCTGAGAGTATGTTCAACAAACTGTACAAAAGACCAAGATGAATTCCCCAGGAGTGAAATAACCCTTTCCTCCCTAAAGGCAGAAGAGAAACACAAAAACAGTGAGCCGTGAAAACACATTTCACTCGTCCTCGTCATGACTAGCATGTGAATTACTGATGACTGTGTTCTTTTAAAGCAGCCATTTGCCAGAAGCTCATGGACATGGAATAATGTGGTGCTTTCATGGGCTGAAGATGCTGCCTCACGGGCAACACTAAAAACCAACAACACAAGATGAGTGATGATCAGGCACCAACCGTGAAATGGACTGCCAGAGTGGAGAGTCAACTGTGAGTCAACTGTGTACTAGTTAGTTGTGGGCCCATGTGGAGCCTGAGGCTCAGTGTTGTTTAAAATCTTTCAGTACAAAAATTGGCTATTCATTTCAATACTGGTGCCTAAAAATGGTAGGCTACTTCTTTCAGGTACCTATATTCAACCAGACAGCCTCAACTTACCTTTGTGCAAACGATTAGTACTGGAATGCCCAGGTTGTGTGTGAGTACGTTGTCCCCGAGCGGTAGCACCACGCCCTCGTCATCCCCCCCTGCTGGGGGAGCCCGTCTCTGGGGAGAGGCTGGGTCGGCTCCCTCCGGCTCTGTGTACTCCTGGAAGGCCTTCACCACTGTGGGGCAGACAGGGGACGGCCGCATTGGTTAGGCTAGCCGCAATGCACCTTTTTCATTTGGAGGATCAATAATCTTTACATGATTTAACACAGGTTTTATAGAGAGCATACAGAGCATTCGGAAGGTATTCAGACCCCTTGACTTTTTCCACATTTTGTTACGTTACAGCCTTATTCTAAAATGGATTAAATCGTTTTTTCCCCCCTCGTCAATCTACACACAATACCCCATAATGACAAAGCAAAAACAGGTTTTTAGAAATTATTGTAAATGTATACAAAATAAAAAACAGAAATATCACATATACATAAGTATTCAGACCCTTTACTCAGTACTTTGTTGAAGCACCTTTGGCAGCGATTACAGCCTCGAGTCTCCTTGGGCATGACCCTACAAGCTTGAGTTTATTCCATTCGGGGAGTTTCTCCCATTCTTCTCTGCAGATCCTCTCAAGCTCTGTCAGGTTGGATGGCGAGCGTCGCTGCACAGCTATTTTCAGGTCTCTCCAGAGATGTTTAATCGGGTTCAAGTCCGGGCTCTGGCTGGACCACTCAAGGACATTCAGAGACTTGTCTCGAAACCACTCCTGCGTTGTCTTGGCTGTGTGCTTAGGGTCGTTGTCCTGTTGGAAGGTGAACCGTCGCCCCCCAGTGTGAGGTCCTGAGCGCACTGGAGCAGGTTTCATCAAGGATCTCTGTACTTTGTTCCTTTCATCTTTCCCTCGATCCTGACTAGTCTCCCAGTCCCTGCTGCTGAAAAACATTCCCACAACATGATGCTGCCACCTACCACCATATATCACAGAATGGTGCCAGGTTTCCTCCAGACGTGACGTTTGGTATTCAGGCCAAAGAGTTCAATCTTGGTTTCAGACCAGAGAATCGTGTTTCTCATGGTCTGAGAGTCTTTAGGTGCCTTTTGGCTAAGTCCAAGCGGGCAGTCATGTGCCTTTTACTGAGGAGTGGCTTCCGTCTGGCCACTCTACCATAAAGGCCTGATTGGTGGAGTGCTGCAGATATGGTTGTCCTTCTGGAAGGTTCTCCCATCTCCACAGAAGAACTCTGGAGCTCTGTCAGAGTGACCATTGGGTTCTTGGTCACCTCCCTGACCAAGGCCCTTCTCCCCCGATTGCTCAGTTTGGCTGGGTGGCCAGCTCTAGGAAGAGTCTTGGTGGTTCCAAACTTCTTCCATTTAAGAATGATGGAGGCCACTGTGTTCTTGGGGACCTTCAATGCTGCAGAAATGTTTTGGTACCCTTCCCCAGATTGTGCCTCGACACAATCCTGTCTCGGAGCTCTACGGACAATTCCTTCGACCTCATGGCTTGGTTTTGCTCTAATATGCACTGTCAACTGTTGGACCTTATGTAGACAGGTGTGTGCCTTCCAAATCATGTCCAATCAATTGAATTTACCACAGGTGGATTCCAATTAAGATGTAGAAACATCTCAAGGATGATCGATGGAAACCGGATGCACCTGAGCTCAATTTCGAGTCTCATAGCAAAGGGTCTGAATACTTATTTAAATAAGGTAATCTGTTTTTTTACTTTTGCAAACATTTCTAAAAACCTGTTTTTGCTTAGTCATTATGGGTTATTGTGTGTAGATTGATGAGGAAAAATTTTCATTTAAATCAATTTTAGAATAAGGCTGTAACGTAACAAAATGTGGAAAAAGGGAAGGGGTCTGAATACTTTCCGAATGCACTGTATATTTTCTTCTGATTGAATTAAAGCATGCAGGACAGCGTCACAAATGGGTACTCCATAACTACGGGCCTGAGTTATTAAAGGCCAAGTGACCTGACATGGAAAACATTTAGTCCCCATTCTTAACAGATGTTGAGTTTCTGCTTTCCTCTCCTGTAGGGAAGGACTGGAGTCTTACCCTTGGCTATGCACTCAGCCACTCACACTCCCTGTTCCCCATACCTTCTCACTGAGCTCCAGAGCTTGCTGCACCAGGTCTGTAGACATGAGCTGATCTGACAGCACTTCCTCTCCTGCCTGCTCCAGCTAGCTCCACTGCCCAGACTGGAGAATAACTCCCACTGTGTTTTACACACAAATAACTAACCTTTTAGTACGACTCGCTAATATATTTATACCCTAAAGAGCTTTAATAACATGATTAGTAAGAGAATGATGGATCCATATATTGAGACTGCAAAACACAACAAAGTCTAGGTCTATTTTCATAAGGTCTATTTTGGTATAAAGCAGAAGCATAACTCCCAATAGGTCACTGCTGCAGGTAGCTGTGTTGGCAGTCTGTCCCCTGTATGCATCCCAGCACATTAGCTGTGAGTAGTGGTCTGGGAAGGCACTTCCCCTTCCTCAGGAACCTGAGGAATGTGGTTACGGCTGACCCAGAGAGCCAGTGTTGCTACAGCACTTTCCTCCACCAGGAACTGAACAGAACAACCCTTAGGGTGCTGGGCTGCCTGGACTGGGCCCTGTGATGTAAACTCCAGCTGATTGGGAGCAGGGATGGGATCAGACTGCTCTGATCTGTGCCAGCTAAAGCTACAGGGGGCCAGCTGAGCCTGGATGCAACAGACTCAACAAAGACAAACCAAAAGATACAAATGTGCAATTGCCTTAGTGTAACGCTATGGCATTTAGACTGTTGGACAAACAATTGTATCCAAAGAACTCAAATAACTGGGTGTACAAAAAAAAATGCATCGCTCACATGGTATTCCTTGAAGAACACATTCTTAGGCAGGCACTGCTCAGCCATTGAGCTATGTTTTTTCTCCTTGGATATTTTGGTAGACTGCCTTGGTGGGAGTGACATACATAGGTTAGGCCTACATTTCTTACATAAACCCGGCTGAGCGGCAAAACGTCTTTACTGAGGTAATAACAGTAAAGTGCCTGTCAGAAAGGTGCAGTGGTCACCCTTCATCTGTACAGTAATAAATCCAGATTTCTCATCATTTCAGACACCACTTTAAAATCAGAAGGACAGGCAGAGACAAGAGCGTGAATCATCCATTGTTCAACCTTGCCCACTTAATCATTCTAGTACAAATATAGGTGGGGCCAAATAGCTTTACAGTGTAAGCATTAGCCTTGATATGACTTTATGACCAATTTGAAGCATAATTGCCGGGTTGCTCCTGCAAGACCCTTCAGCTTTGTGGCCTATAATGCAGAGACATAACAGAAAGATATTGCTGAATCCTGATAACAACAGTTGTGAATAGAAAACTGTTGCTTTGTGTTATTTCAGTGCATGATACAGCAAGGATTGGTTCTGCTTGAGAGCACCATCAAGCTGCTCCAGTTTCAACTGGGCCAGAACATCCTGCCCACTCGATATCCCTTCCATGCTTAGACTCACTCTGGTGTCAAAAGAAACCATGATGCAACACTGCTGTAAGAGTGCCTGGACCTGGACACCGGCCATGCCTCCTCCTCCCTTTGGATATGTCGCACTAGTCCAGTCCTTCTCAAATAGTGGGGGGCTCTGAGCGATGCCAGGGGGGCGCGTGTGACCCCGGGGAACATGCTTTTTTGCCGCCGCAGGGAGTAGGTTTTTTTTGCACCGAACAAGAGCACACAGCACAGAGCAGGAGATATGAAGTGCAGATAACAAACCCTTAAGAGACACCATGGAAAAATATTTAACAGGGATGAAAAGAAAGGCGGAGAGAGACGGAGATGAGACAAACGTAAGTCTCCCGAAAGCTAAGACAAGGAAATATGACGAAGCGTATGTAGCGCTTGGCTTCACTGCGACTACTGTGGGAGACGAGGAAAGACCGGTATGTTTACTGTGTTTTAAAAATGTTGGCAGCGGACAGCATGAAGCCAAATAAATTAAGGCGTCACTTAAAGACATTACACCCCAATCACGCTGATACACCCCAATCACCAGACCACTAAAAACAAGAGTCTTCTCTGCTATCTGTGAGGAGATGGGAGCTGAACATCAAGCTGTGCTGTTTCACAGTGAAGCAAGGTGGCTGTCACGAGGAAAAGTCTTGTCCCGAGTTTTTGTCCCGAGTCCCGGGAAGTCTTGTCCCGAGTCCCGGGGAGGGAATGGCCGGCAGGGATGTAGCTCAGTTGATAGAGCATGGCGTTTGCAACGCCGGGGTTGTGGGTTTGATTCCCATGGGGGGCCAGTATAAAAAATGTATTCACTAACTGTAAGTCGCTCTGGATAAGAGCGTCTGCTAAATGACTAAAATGTAAATGAAAGAAACACCTCAGGTCACAGACAAGTTCAGCTCTTTCACTTGAACGCTTGCAATGTGGGACAGGCGACTTGATGAAGGAAATACTGATTCATTCGAGAACCTGCATGGATTTGTTGACACTACTGACTATGATGCCACCTCAGTGATTCCATATATTAAGGAGCATATTTCATCACTGATGGGATTCTTTAAAAAGTACTTCCCTGAAAACAGTTCCCAATATGACTGGGTGAGAGATCCTTTCAATGCACCAGCTCCAACTGGTTTCAGCTCTGCAGAGGAGGACCAGTTCATTGATATGACGTCTGACTCCACATTGAGACTGAGGTTCACATCACAGACACTGAGTGAATTCTGGCTGAGTGTAGAGAGGCAGTATCCACTCTTAGGGCAGAGGGCCATGGGCATTCTTCTTCCTTTTGCAACATCTTATCTTTGTGAGACTGGCTTCTCTGCTGTTGCTGCACTGAAGACAAAGTACAGGTCCCAGCTAAACATTGAGCAGGAGCTGAGAGTTGCAGTATCATGCTTGGCCCCGTGTAGCTCAGTTGGTAGAGCATGGCGCTTGCAACGCCAAGGTTGTGGGTTCGTTTCCCACGGGGAGCCAGTATGAAAATGTATGCACCCACTAACTGTAAGTCGCTCTGGATAAGAGCGTCTGCTAAATGACTAAAATGTAAATGTAATGCTTCAAACCCCGCTTCGAAAAGCAGTGCACTGCAAAACGTGCTCATTGTAGCCATTAATCCTGAAATCAGCACAAATTGTTTTATTCATTTTTGTTTTATAGGTAAAAGTGTTTCATATATTGTGCTCCTAAGTTAATGTTGCTGATCAATTTGAATGTATTATTTATTGATTATATTTAATTTAGTTTTTCAGTATCAAATGGTCAAAATTTTTTAGTTTAAATAAGGTTTGAATTTTTTATTTTATTTCAGGCAAATTGATGAACTTTAAGTATTTTCTGTTACAGACTAAAAACAATGTTAATAAAGTTATTCTTTGTTGTAAGTTGATCTATATTACTTAATTTTTTTTGTTTTCTTTAATGTTAATAAGGATACAATGTTATCTAGTCGGACATGTGCAGTGATGACATCATTACTGACATCCTGAAAGATGAGCACTGCCTGGATGATATGCTACTCTCCTAGATAGAAAAGCTGGAACTGTTTGTGGGTGGGCGTGTATTCAACAAAAGAGTTTGGCAGGGAGCATATGCCAGCCTGGCTACTTGTGTTGGATATCAGCAAACACCACTAGCCAAAATTAGACCTACACAAAGTAAACGTATTTACTAGTACAACACAATCCAAAATGAAAAACAAGGCTTGACATCTACGCAAACGCTTTCCTCCCTATGTTGAGAAAGAAAAGTCAAACCAAGTCTTCATCTACCAACATTATGTAATTTAGCCTACAGTATAGAATCAGTAAATCACTGATTATTGGTCCAGTAGAAGCATTCAGATTATGCAAAATATTCCCAATATTTGCGTAGAATGCAGTAATGTGCTACCTTACCTCAAAGCTTTTTAGCCTACAGAAACATCATCCTTTTGATCCTCTGATCAAGAGAATGTCAGATAACCCCAGGCTCTTGTAAGAGCATGCAACTTCAGAGCACAAAAGAGCACTTCATGATCATTTCTAAAATTATCAGGAGTGATCAACAGAGCAGGCTTTTGGTCATCATGACTGAACACAGCTGATAATCATGGGCCTTTCTGATGACAATGTGTAATTTTATACTTCAGTGTCTGTGCTTTGTACTGCCCTTCCTTTTAGTTTAAATGAAAAACCAGCCAGCATCCAAACTGTAGCCTAAATCTGTTATGTAAGCATCCATCTCATTGGCTCTGTCTGGGATGTTCACTATGCTGCAGACACTTGCCAAACTAAACCATGCCATCAGCTACACAAGCAACAAGCATCTCGCAACATTAAGGGCAGCAATTATCATCACCTCCACTGTCTGACTGCCAAACAAACACGGCTCAATGTTAGGACTGGCCTTTGCTTGGACAATCAACCCCACAGACACTTTGTCGCAGCAGCCAACGGGAAGTAGATGATTCAGCACTACTTACTCCTCAGCTCCATCTCTCTCATCTCCTCTGGTGGGATCTTGAGCTTGTCCACATGATCACGCAGCACGCTGGCCCACTTCTGGAGCGACTCCATGATGGTCCAGGGTCTTGACATGTCTGCCACAAACACTGCCAAGCTGTCGTTCAGCGACTCTGCTGTCACTGCAAACTTTAGCAGGCCTTTGTGATACAAGTCCCCATCCAGGATCCACACGTTACAGCGTGTAAGGTCTGCAAAAATTCAGAGATTTACGGTCACGCAAAAAATAACATGTAGCCTAACCCATGTACGCTTGCATTTTTTTCCACTGACACAGGGAACTTACCATCTATGTCCTCATCGTGGACATTCAGATACAGATACTCCAGGCCTCTTCCTTTCTTACTATGCTCTGCTCCTTGGAGTTTTGCCATAATCGTTGTCTTTCCTGACCCATCCTCACCTGAAACATTTCCGCACAAATGGGTTATTGTCATGTTATTGTTATGATTTGGTTGATTTGACTTAAGACAACATTTATTATCTGTATAACTTTATATGCAACCTCTCCTGAAAATCAGCTACTTCTCTCTTTCGGCATGATTAAAAGTTACTGAAGGCTATGGATTTGTACTTACCAAACACCAATATGTTCTTCCCGGATGGCAACTTAGAACTTGAACGTGTTGAAACCTCACTGAGAATTGAAGTCCTGAAGGAAATAACAATGCAATTAGATTGATAGCTAGCTATCACATGATGAAATGAAGTAGCCTAGGCCTAACACATAGCCTACTGGTAGGTGTCTGTCTGGCTACCAAGACCGTTAGCTAGCTATCACTTGTTATGGTAATTAGCCTACCTTGTCAAATAAGCTTTTGAGTGTCAGCATCAACTTGCCATGTGTCAAGTCACCCAGGTAACGTTAACGTGAGTCAGTTGTCACTGATCATAGCTAGCTAGCTATATAGTTTCTTAATTTTGTACATTTTATAAAATAAAAAAGTTTGACTGGCTTGGCAATATTAAAACATAGCTAGTTATGTAGCTGTAACTGTAATTATCAATGACCAAAAATTAATGTGGCTAAGCTAGTTAACGTTAGCTAACTACATTCTTTGGTCCTGCACAATCAGACGACAATAACTTGGCTAGATAGTTAGCTAGCTAACGCGCCTGCTAGTAATATTTATTTGGTGTGAATATTGGTTAGCTAGCCTAGTTATCTATACGTTTGTCTCGTTTGTTATTGTAACTGGTTAGTTATGTAGCTACACTAACTAACTTAAGCGAAGTTGTGTAGCCTAGCGAACGTTTGCTATCGTAACTACGTTAGCTAGTTAACTGTTTTGAAGGCATCCGGGACCGTTTTGATGAGAGCACCCGGCAGTGACAAAGCACATTAAACAAGTTAGTAAAAAAGCTTTTCCGTTACAGAAAACAACACATTGTAAATCACGAGTACTTGAACTTGCCATAGGTTTTGTCCTTCCTCGTCTTCGTTGCTATTTTCCATAGTGTCGCCTGCCCCGGCTGCGCCCAGGAGCTTCTTCTCCAGAACGGGAGCCATCTTCTTTCTACAGCCACAAAGAGAGAGGCGCGACTTGGGCGCCCTAGGACCGTGTTAAAACTGTGTGCACGCGATTTACAATGCATCAAATCCCGGAGTGCGGCTCAGCATTGACGGTTCAAAATCTATAGCTAAACAACACATCATACCTACCACATCTTGCTATCAATCAAGCACCAGATACAGACAATGGGTCAAAGCTGATGGTAACTTATGGTGATAATACTCAATACCTCGCTCTTTTCCTGTGGCCCAATCAAAATATCTGAAGTGGGCTAGTGTACAATATGTTGCGCATACTAAACCGAGTGCACCTACTTAACTCAGACAGCCTCTTTCCAAAAACGACATCTGATTATATCATAATTATTTACTCAATTATTTACTGTAAACATTAAAAGGGAAAAAAAATAAGACAAAGTAAAACAACAAGTTACCATGAAAGTGTTGTGTAGGCTAATTGTGATCAGGCATAATAACAGAGACCTCAGTATGCGTTGGCTTGCATGATGTCATCCTGCAAGGCTGGCAGACTTCTTTTTATATTGGGCATTGTACACTTAACAACTGGTCCAGGATCAGTTGTGCAGCTAGACCATAATAAGTTTGGGTACGTTTGGGGTGGAAAGAGCTGGCCGCGCAACAGTTGCTAGACCAAAGAAAAGCTAGTTTTAGCAGATGTTATAGCGGGTGTAGCAGAACTGGCGCAGCAGAGCAGACCATAGAGTAGACCAGGGTTCTTCAATTCCGGTCCTGTAGGGCCGAAACACTTCTGTTTTTTATTTCTACCTGGTAGTTAATTGCACTCACCTGGTGTCCCAGGTCTGAATTAGCCCCTGATTGAGTAGACCGTATAGCAGACAGGTAAAGTGATGCCACCTAGTGGAATCATAAGAAGGCAACATCTAGATTTAGATTTAGAGAGTGTATTAGTCACATGCACATGGTTGCAGATTTAAATGCAGAGTGAAAATCTTAAACACCGAGCTCCAACAGGAGGGGGGAAGCAGATAGCTGATTGGGTGGCTATTCAGCAGCCTGACCGTCTGGGGGTAGAAGTTATTGGCCAGTCTTTCAGTTTTTGGCATGATGCTCCTGTACTCCCCGCGTTTGAGTGATGGAAGCGGGAAGAACAGTCCGTGCCTGGGGTCCCCTGATGAAGTTTCAGTTTTTTAGTAGAACATGTTGACCATGTCTGAATTATAATGTTCTACTTTACAAAAGACACAAATACATTTGTATTTTAGCCTTTCATTTATCTACTGTCATAAGAAAAGACACGCTCGTACAGTATTCACTTGTATACTTTATAAATCAAATCAAATTGTATTGGTCACATACACATATTTAACAGATGTTATTGCAGATGTAGCGAAATGTAACGTTCGTTAGTTAGCTAGCTAACTTGCTAGCTGCCTTCCTTCAATGCTTGGTGGCACTGGCTTTACTGACAGACAAGACATGGAGCTTATATTAAAAGCCACCAAGCATCGAGCGAAAGGCTAAAGTTAGCTAACATATTAAACAGGTGTGTCTAGACGATCCGATCCGGTGTACGGTTCATTCAATCAATATCCGAATTTAAACAACTAAGACGTATAATCATTTCGACTGCTTGAATTCATTTTACTTAGGTCGGCCACAAGATTGAATTAATGAACAGAGACTGTGTGTGCGTAGAGAGGAGGGGCTGCAACAGGATGGATACGTTTACATTTGACATTTTAGTCATTTTAGCAGACGCTCTTATCCAGAGCGATTTACAGTACTGAGTGCATACATTTTCATACGTAAACTAGCTGTTTTCAAAGTAAAAGCTGTAAAGTGTTAACTATTTGGAGGAAATCATATAATTTTACCAATTGCATTGGGAATGGGTTCTTCACTTTTTAAAAAAAACATATTTTCCACTAAATGTAAAGGGTTTCAATGTTCTTAGTCAGTGCCTCTCAGTTACACATTACATTATTAATGTAAACGCCAACACACACAATCGTTAGATAATAATCAGCCTTTACAAGAAAAACCATGTAAACAACATAATGACCAAAACTTGCTTTACATTAGTTCAAACCAGAATGACGCCAATCAATAATTAAATCTGGGCCGCAAAAGAAATAGGAGCAATCCCATAAACCTGAATCAATCACTGTGTGAATAAAGGCACCCGGACTTCAGTAGAGCTGAGCTGGTAATTAATGTTGAGATTACCGAGGGACTCAGAGTCCCACCTGCCCCACCATAGACCTTTGAGACAGGAAGGCAGGGCAGGCAGTTGAACTGAGGCATCTACATTATTGCTGTAGGGAATTCCCTTAGGACTCCCCAGTATGGCTTTGGGTTTCCCCATCTATAGATCCAGGGTAGCTTGGGTGAGAGTGAAGGGACAGAGTGAGATGGGGATATTGGCTGAAGTGCATGCCAGAACTGTGAGTCATGTGAAACTTGGCCTTTCTACTCTTACTCCCATTCTTAGTGTGGAGAGGCCTAATCCTGCTGACAGGAAAATCTAATAAAACAGGTTTTGTTTTTGTCAGAGGCTTGAGGGAAACAGGTCCCTGTTCTGCTTTTCTGCTCAATGACACTGATTTTGCTACACTTCGATACAATATATGACATTTATTGAATTGATTGAACTTGTCATTCCATCAAGCTCAGTGCCCATTTATTTTTTTCACTAGCACACACAATTAGGCTACCTTCTCTGCAATTCCTAAGAGGGTGTATGCACCCCTCATACATCCTGCATCAGTCTCTGGTACAAGGCCTAGCATTCCAAACAAAAAAACACAGATTGGATGGTGTGTCCTTTAAACTAATAAATGCTTTCTACCAAACAGTAAGCTGTGAGTTCACATTAACATGCAAATTAGTTATTGTCCATGAAAGATACTCTCATATCAAACAGTTGTAATTCCATATTAGAGACAGAAGGTGACACTGTTCTCATAGTAATATTGCCTTCCAGAACTTGGTTCTGCAAAACCCTTATGATTGATTGCATATGATGTGTTTGTAGAGCCTAGTAAGCAGAACTGAGAACACAAACCATAAAACATTCTGCTTGAAGGGTATGGGAAGTCTATAACCTTACCCTCAGCCAAAGTCAATCTAACAAATTAACAATCGACTTGTAGTGGTGAAATGAAAACGTGATAGACTGGTATAAATGAAGCATTTTCTCATGTGTCATGCCTCTTTGTTCAAATATTTTTTATTGAACACACACAAGAATGGAGTATAGGTACTTTGTAGAAAAGACAAGTATGCAATTCTTATATAAACATAAAACAGCAGACAGATACAAAAATACCCTGAGTTATAGGTAAAAAAATAAATAATACAAAATAAGATATACAGAACAAGGACAGGTAAACAGAACGAGGGCAGATGTCACCCCCATATCCATCCCTCCATCACCCATTGAAATGTACAAATTCACATCGCCGAATGGTCCAAATAAGAGAGTAGAGGTTGCCAGATTTGAGAAGAATATATCGAATTCCTTCTAAGTGTAGAGTGTTTGCCAAATCGCTGAGCCATAATTTGGTAGAGGGAACTTCCTTCCTTTTCCAAAACAACAAGAATATTTTTTTTAGCCGAAATGAGACCGTAAGAGATTAGTTGTTTTTGGGGTTGGTTAATCTGTTTAGGGTTTCTGACACTCCCAGGATGATCAGAAGCAGGGTCAATTGAAGTCTCCACACCAATAACGTGTGTCATGCCTCTTAACACACTGCCTGCATAGGAAATAACTTTGGTATAGTAAGGTTGCCAAATAGGTTGCTTATTCCCTAAGGCACATAAACAGCATCTGATGAGCTTGTGACATTTGAGTTTACTGACTACATAATTGAATGGAAATTAATGTTTTCATATCTTGGAAAAGTTAATTCCCTTTTAAGTGCCAATCATACAGATGTAAGATTTTAATTTGATCACACTGTAAATTCACCCTAGGACATTTAAAACTTCTAGTGTATTTGAGGTTTAAAAAGGCTTCTAAAGTTTGTTATTTCCACTTAGAAATTTCTGACTTGATTTTCCCTTACGAAAAATGTATCAAACCGCTACAAAAATGTGCATTAATTATAATCCACATAATAATTCACATTTCCTGTTGCTGCAGGATTTTTTTCCTGCTGTAGGAGACTGGCTCAAATTTAGATCCTACATCTGTATGCAGTAAGAAAATATGTAACCCTGCTTCCACACCTCTCCCTATTCATTAGCATGTTAATTTGATGACTGCACTTTGTTCAATACTTGTTTGATTGCATTCCACACCATAGAGAGAGGCCAGATCCTCCTCCTCATTGATGAGTTGTGTGATCTAATCTCTGATCGCTGATGGCTCCTCTCCAATGAGAGTGATCAAGTTAAAGACTGGTTCAGTCCACTCTTAGGTGAGACAGAAAAACAAGTCTCACTCTCTTTTGTTTTGTAAGGTGGGATCCAGAAAGTCCTTAATGTGTTAGTAAACCACACATGTAATATCTGGCTTGTAAAATCTGGTTCAGTAGTGGTTGGTCAAAGACTGTAGTCTAGCCTAGTAGGCTATAACAAGTGCTTGAAATTAAAGTCACACTATGTAGTTTCTTTCCCTTATGGTTGCTAAACAATTTCCATATAAAATTGCAGCTGAAAGAACACAAACACATTCTATTCCTCCTTTCCTATTCCTATTTTTCTTTGATTTACACTTGCAAAGACCCTTCCCCTTAGTCCACCAAAACAAAATCCACTCCTGGGCAATAACACAAACTCCTCGTGTTTCCTGTCTTGAGAACAAAATTGAATACTCTACCGTTTTCTGTTTCAACATGTCCTGATTAATATTTGCCTGTTCCCTGTCTTTCAACGATGCAGTTGATAACAAGACAATACCTATTGTACATGAAGAACTGTGTCATCTCTCGGGTGAACTGTACGCACAAAAAGGTTCAAGTTGTAGAATTTCATTAAACCTCACCCGTAATATTGGGCCCATTAACACATAGAAGGCAAATAGCACAAAGGTGCCATCTGTTAGGAAACTTAAAATGGAAAAGTAATATTGAGAGTGACCTTTTGGCCCTCTGTCACCTTTACGAACAATTACTAACATGAAGAACAGTATGTTGAACCTACAGGAATCAGACACCATGTTCCTGAGGGTTGATGGCACACATGGCCGTAGCCACCCAAGTGGAAAACTGATTGGATTCGAAAAAAGTAATCAATGTAAAAGGGAATTTGGTATTTTTTCACCCAACTTCTAACCTAAATCCAATGACATGATTAAATTTGTTGTTGATTTCACGTTAGTTGACAACTCAACCAAATGTAAATCAAAACTAGACATTGAACAGACGTCTGTGCCTAGTGGGCAGGGTCTGAGTTTTAGTGAGGTCCGGAAAAGTTGAAGCTCATTTACTGCATTTCTATACAATTTCAAAACTCTAAAATGCTATTTGGACAACAGCAAAAACAAGCAAAAAAGTATAGCTGCCAGCAGCATTGGCGGGGTTCAAGCTCTGGGCCCACATTA